GCAGGGGGTCCTGAACTGTAGAAGGGTGAGGAAATCCAGATGAGCACAAGCCAGCAAACAACTAAGCCTACACACATTCTTCTCTCTGTGCTCTTGTCCATGGATGTTATGTGACTAAGCTGTTTCAGGCTCCTGCCACTGTGACTTCCCAGTGTGATGGACCCTATATGATGGACCATAGCCTGGGACTGTAAGCCAAATAAACCCCTTCTCCCCTCAGCTTATTTTTATCAGAGTATTTTATGACAGCAACAGAAATTAAACTATGGCAGTGGTCATGAACCACCTTAGTTTGTGATTACCTTGAAACGTCCTTATTTGCCCATCAATTTAAAAAGATAGCTTTGCTGATATAGGAATCTTGGTTGATAGTTACTTAGTTTCAAGGCTTGAAATATATTATTCCATGCTTTTCTGCCTTTTAGGGGTCACAATGAGAGGTGAGATTTTCTGATATAAGTTTTTCCATTACACTTTTAACATTGTCTCTTTGCTTTGTACTTTTAATATCTTGACTATATTATGTCATGGAGAGGTTCTTTTCTAGTCATTTATATTTGTGGTTCTCAATGACTCTTTTGTTTGTATGTCTATTTCTTTGTCTGGATTTGGGAGTTTTTCTGCTATAACTTCGTTAACTAGATCCCCTAGGCCTTTAGTTTTTATGTCAGCTCCTATCTCATGGATTCTTAGGTTTGGTCTTCTAATTGTATGCCAGAGCTCATGGACGTTGTGACTATGCTTGTTTTGATTTTCTTTACTGAAGCTTGGATGTAGTATTCTCCCAACCATGTCCTCCATCCCTGACATGCTCTCTTCTACTTGCTCTAGTGTATTGGTGATACATTCCATAGTGCTTACTTGAGTCACTGAGTTCTTCATTTCCAACATTTCCCATTTTTTTTCAAAATCTCAATCTCCTGGCTGAACTTTTCTCCCATATTGCTGAGTTTGGGTTTACTGTTTTTTTCCCTTTGTGCTGCTGAGTTTCCTGTCCGGATCTTGAGTTGAGTTCATCTGCTTGTTTTATCTTCTCTGAAGTCATTTATTTTCACTTTTACCAGTCAACATTTGGAATCTTCACCCACCGTTTTACTTATTTATTTAAGATGCTCTCAGATCTTTCAATTCAGTAGGATCTGTCTATGCATCTTCCAAACCTCCTGAGCTGTGGTCATGCTGCTGGAAGATTGCAGCAGTTGAGGAGTTACTGCTCTTTGAAAAAAAGTCATGTTGTCCTGCTTCTTCATGTTTCCTGAGTTTCCGTGCTGTGGTTTGTGCATCTGTTGGTCTGCACATGTCTTGTGGTTGTATTTGGAGATATTCTTACAGAGCAGCCCACTCTTAAGGCCCAGTACTACTAGGAGAGGAGAAAACACACTATTGCGAGAGCAACATCATCAATCTACAGAAAATATTGAAACACACTTAAAATCAGTTAATCCTGTTAATACATCTCCAACAGCTATAACACAGAAAAATGACAAAACTAATGGAGAGTGTTTTGTGATGCTAAAAATTATTTAAGGGAAATTTGGAAATACCAAATCAATGAGATGAAAGAAGGAGGCAGGGCAGGAGAGAAATGCAGAGAAGGTTAGGGACTGGAGAGATGACTCAATGGTTAAGAGCACAGACCTCTCTCACAAAGGATGCGGGTTCAAATCCCAGCACCCACATGGTGGCTCACAACCATCTGTAACTCCAGTTCTAGGGGATCTGACACCCTCTTCTGACCTCTAAGGGCATTGCATGATATGGGTGCATTTACATACATGCAGGCACTACACTCATACACATAAAATAAAAATAAGTATCTTTTTAAAAAACAGAGAAGCAAGGTTAACGCCGGGTGTGGTGGTGCACAGCTTTGATCCCAGCACTGGGGAGGCAGAGGCAGGTGGATCTCTGTGAGTTTGAGGCCAGCCTGGTCTACATAGCAAGTTCCAGGACAGCTGGAGCTACAGGGAGCCCCTGTCTCAAAAAAACACACACACACACAAACAAAAAAAAAAAAAAAAAAGAAAAAACAGAGAAGCAAGGTTAAATAAAAGAAAGGAAAAAGAAGAGCGGTAGAAAAGAACGTTAAGGAGGGGAAGAAAGATTATAAAAATAAGATTGAAGAAAAATGCAAAAAGAAAAATTGATTTCCCAATAATGAGAAAGTTTGAACACATAGTTAAATAAATGTAAGAAAGGCAATAAAAACATAAGACCTGGGACTGGAGAGATGGCTCAGTGGTTAAGAGCACTGGCTGTTCTTGTAGAGAACCCAGACTTGATTCCCAGCACCCACATGGTGGCTAACAACCATCTGTAACTCCAGTTCCAAGGGATCCAATGCCCTTTTCTGACCTCCAAGGCATTGCACGACACAGGTGCACTTACATGTAGGCAATACACTTATACGCATAAAATAAAAAATAATAAATAAAATATTTTTAAAAATAAGAGCACTTAAAAAGCAATAAGGTAAAATGAAAATACTGTAAGTAGGAAGAAAGAGCAGAAACACAGGGAGAACAGAAAAAGAAGAAAAAAAGGAAATAAAGAGTTGGCCTAAAATAAAAAAAGAATGTGTAAACAAAATTAAATCGATGTATGAAGGGCAATAAAAAATAAAAACATAAGCTGGGTGTGGTAGCACACACCTCTAATCCCAGCACTCGGGAGGCAGAGGCAGGAGGATCTCTGTGAGTTCAAGGCCAGCCTGGTCTACATAGTAGGTTCCAGGCCAGCTTGGGCTAAAGGGAGACTGCATCAAAAAGACCAAAAATAAAAAATAAAAATAAATAAGTAAATAAATAAAAACATAAAAGATTTTTTAAATATGATAAATTAAAAATACCATTAAATTTGTAGTAAAAAAGAAAAACCAGAACTCTTAAAACACAAAGAGGAGAGGGGAGGAGTGGGATGACTGTTGAAACGGCTTCTTTCTGGATCCTCAAAAGTTGGAAACTGCCAATTATGTAGGGGGAGGGGTGTCTTTCGTGTGGCTTGTGCTATTCCTGAGCTTTATTGGACAAGGGTCCAGTGTCCACTGAGACTGTCCTCATTTTAGCAGCTTCTCTTCTCTGAGCAGCAGGGACTTCTGTTGTCTACACTTAGCTTTGCATCCCCCTAAGCCCTCCCAGATTTCACCCTCCATGGCCACTGTTCTCTAGCTGGGAGGTGTCTCTCAAGTACACTGAGAATTAGGAAAGCAACCACAGTGCCAAGATCTGTACAGGTGTCTGTACTTTTCAAAGGCCCTAAGCACTGATCATCCTGCTGAAGGCAGATGTCAAATATTACACTGAATCTGCAGAGCTCTTGAACTCCACAGCAGTGAATGGCAAAGAGGTGGCTCCAGAGATTGATCCCTGTACTGACTTCAGATTCCGGCTGTTAAACTCCGGAGTTATTCTCAGTATATAAGGTCTGCTCCCAGGTGGCCTCCATGCACTTCACTGCCTGAGGGGAGCCTCCCATTTGTGTTTTTCAGCTTAGCGGCATCCAGCCTCTCCTGTTCCCGTTTGCTTCCGGGTCCATTTCTCACCCTGGGGCTGTGGCAGGTTAAATTCGGGCTCCATGACTTGTGGATTTCCCTTGTTCTCAGGCCTCCAGGGTTACCTCAGTTTTAAACTATATGTTCCCTCTCAAGATGGCACCTGGCCACTGCCATCTGAGTCACACAAAGTAGCAAGATTGGATTCCTCTTGGCTACTGATGGACCCCTTGGAGGAATAACTGTCTCACCAAACCTTGTAACTGCATTTGTGACCTGTGAGAGCTGTGGGCTTGTCCTGAGGGTAGAACTTTCAGTCTCCTTTCACCAGAGCCATCTCAGTTACCTTTTGGAAGGCAGCCGTGATCACCCCTATACCCCCAATGCTAGATTACCTTTTTGATGAGGCATCTGCTCCCCCTCCCACTGCCAGGGAGCCACGTGGCTGGAGCTGTGCTCAGCTTGGTTTACCTTTCACTGTATCAGCCATCTTTTCCTCCACACATGCCACTGTTCTGTCACTATCTTTATGAATTTCCAAAGCTCTTCCTCTCTGTCTTTGGGACAGTCTAATTTTTTCTTTTCTGACTCTTCTTCACCTAGTTACACCGAAGCAGATTGTTGTCTGCCATCTTACCCAGAAGTCCTATGTTTAATTTTTTGAGGGACCTCCACAATGGTTTTCACAGTGGTCGTACCATTTTACATTACACCAGCAGTACACGGGACTTTCAGTTATTCCACATCCTTACTAACAAGTGCTATTTTCTGGAATATATACCTATACACATACACATATACACACAGTGTCTTATAGGTTCATTTATGTTATAGCATGTGTCAAAAATTACATTCATTGGGCTGGAGAGATGGCTCAGCAGTTAAGAGCACTGGCTGCTCTTGCAGAAGACCTAGGTTTGAATCCCAGTGCCTACATGATAGCTAACACCAGTTCTAGGGGAGCCAAAGCCCTCTTCTATCCTCCATGGCATTGCACAACATGGATGCACTTGCATACATACATGCAATGCGCATAGACATAAAATAAAAAGAAAAAATTAAAAATATATATACATATATGTTCATCATCATGATGGGTGTGAAGTGAGAACTCATTTCAGTTTTGATTCACTTCTCCTTGTTGATGTGTAACCAGCATCTTTTCATGAGTTTATTGGCCATTTGTATCTTTTCATTGGGAGGAAAGGTCTACTCAAGCCATTTGCCCATTGCTTTGATTGGGTTGTTTGGGTATTCGTGGGATGGTGGTGGTAGAGCTGCAGGTGTTATTTATATATTCTGGCTATCAGTTCCTTGTCAGATCTAAGATTGGCAAAGCTTTTCTCCCATGCCATGTTACTCTCCCCTCTGTAGACAGCACCCTTTGATGTAGAGTTTTGATGAAGTCTCCCAGACCCATTTTCTTCTATCATTGTCAGTGCTTTTGCTTTTATGGCAATACTGATTTCTTAGAGCATCTTTTCTCTCCCTCCCACATAAAACTAAACAGGTATGCACAGAGCCAGCCCGTGTTTCCAAGTCCAGACTCGCACCCCGCCAGCAGCAGTGCCTCAACCCCTGTCTTGCTGATGGGACAGGCGGTGCTTCACCCCAGCTTCCCCACCTCCCAGCCTTCCCCCCTACAGCCGGCGCAGGCCCAGCAGCAGCCACCACACTACCTGCAGGTGAGTGGCAGGGCCCAAGGGACTCATGTGGGCCAAATTCCACATTCCACATGAGCATCTGCAAGGCCTTTTCCTCCCTTGCTTATGAGGTTGTTCTGTCCCTAGTAGAGAGAAAAGCCTCAGAAAGATTCATATTTGGTTTACTAATGATTTTTAATGTACAGTATGGACATTAAAGGTCAGCTGTTATGCTTCATATGGTTGTGTGCTGAAATGTCCAATTTTAAGTAATTTTTTTTTAACCACTAAGCCAGCTCTTCAGCCTCTGCTCTCCCAAAAGACCTGAGTTTCGTTCCCAGTACCCACTTTGGGTGGCTTAAAAATGCCTGTAACTCCAGTTCCAGAGATCAGACACTGTCTTCTAGCCTCTGCACACACTCACATCCATGTGGCATACACAGACATACACACACGTACACATAAATTAAAATATAAATAAATCTTGAAGGTAATTTTTACCCATTTTCATCTTTATATAATACTTTTACAACAAAGATCAAACATTAATGACTATTTTTGTTATACTTCTTAGTTATCATCTTATGTAAGTATAAATTGAAATGCAATGCCAGGCGTGGTGGCACATGCCTTTAATCCCAGCACTCGGGAGGCAGAGGCAGGCAGATATCTGTGAGTTCAAGGCCAGCCTGGTCTACATAGTGAGTTCCAGGTCAGCTGAGACTACAGGGCGACCCTGTCTCAAAAAAAAAAAAAAATGAAATGCAACTAAAGATCCATCAAACTGCTTTAAGAACTATAGGAATTTGTGAAATGAGGGCTTGACATGAAAATTCAGAGCACATTTACATTGCAAACACTATTCAGAGGGCAAAAATTACTTCAAGAACTTGACAAACACACTAGGAAGAAGGGTGGGTTCCACTGGTCTAGGGGTTCATATGGGAGCAATGTGCTTTCTGAGGCTCTCAGAGGGCTTTGTGCCCCCTTTTACATGCCCAGGGCACCCTCCTACCTCATCCTGCAGCCTGCTCTGTGAGGCTTCCCCTAGTAAGTGAAGCCCATCCACTCTGCTTGGCATTTTCAAGGCCAGAAGACACCATGCAATAGCTGAGACATCTTGAGGACTGTGGGATAGACCCACAGACAGCCATCCTTAAAGGTCTAGGATGAAGGTTGATTCCAAAGTTGCTAAACATTTGTGGTAATAATTTTCAAATCTCTGACTGTGTGCACAGTGATAGTGGGTGTCAACTCTAACGGCTTTATCTTGTCAGTTCTTAGAACACAAAAGTGACTTGGCATGGAAAACAACGAGGCAAGAAGGCAGGGGTATGTGGGGAACTGGAAAGGTCTCCATGTATTTCTTCAACAGCTGTAGTTTGCAAGTACCTAGACCATCCAGGGTGCAAAGTAAAGATGCGAAGAGCTCTTTGTGCTCTTCCATGCCTTTAGGATCCCAGCGTACATGTGCTCAGACTCTGGTAGTGCAAAGAGGGAACACTGGAACAGGAAGAAATTCCAGGAGAAAGGTTCGGAGGCATCTCCTGCAGAGCCCAACACATCCAGGAAATCCTGGAGTGTGGGTCAAGGATTGGGGATAAAGGGTGTTTGAGCAGACAACCCAGTATAAAGCTATGGAAAGGTATACTGAGAAGCCTCAAAAGTGTGTTGGGGGGCACCGGGTGACTTGGAGAGGGACATGTATCTATAGACAAGAGTGGAAAATGAGACTAAAGCTTCCAAAGTCAGACCTACTGGTTGAAACTTTTGCACTTCCAATCATGGTATTTCCTACTGGGTTCTGTCAAGTGGCAGTATTTGAAGTAATTACAGGACCAGGGACCTACTGTAAGAGTCAAGTGTGTGTGTGTGTGTGTGTGTGTGTGTGTGTGCGCGCGCGCGCGCGCAGATTCTGCCCTACCACTATCTACATGAGCCTCGGGCTCTACTATCCACAAACATACAGGACATATGTAGATCATGTGTTCTTTATAAGAACACATACCTGCAGCCTCAGCGCTAGGTCCGTCCGTGGCCCAGAGAGAGCACTCCCCAGCCACCCCCAGTGTGGCCCAAGTAGTCTCAGATAGCTTGGCTTCTCCCGACCTGGGAGAGCCTAAGGTGGCCTTCCAGTCCTTCACAGCCCCCAGAGCCACCACACAAACACTGCCCAGCCATCTGAGGAGGGGAGTCCCAGAATCTGCAGCAGTCCCGCTCCCCCCCCCCAACACCCACAAGGGTATTGAAGTGACCAGTCACAGAAACTGTTCCAGAGTCCTTTTTCTTTTCTTTCCTGGTCCAGGCGCCAACCCCTCTGCACAGTGAACAGCCAGATTCGCTCCTTCTCTCCACCTTCTCCCAACAGCCAGGGACCCTGGGCTATGTGACCACCCAGCCCGTGCAGCCGCAGCCTCCACGACCCTCCCGCAGGGTCAGCAGGCTGTCTGAGTCCTCCGGCCTCCAGCAGCCACCCCGATAGTGCCGGGTAGTGGAGTCGGGATACAATCAGCTTTAACCAATGGAAGAGGGCTGGCCGCAGGAGATGGAAAGAGGATTCGCACTGAACCCTTGGCTTTGGCGCACACTATAAACATTTCAGAACTCCGAGTTGTGACATGTCTGGTGCGGGCACAGTGGGAAAAAGAACTTGTTATACTGGCCATAATTCCTTTGCCCTGAGGTTCTCGGCCACCCTCTACAGCCATACCAGACAGAAACCAAGTGCCCCATGTGGGCATCGTTTCTGAGTCTTTCTGCAGAGGTGGCATCCCTCGCAGCCTTCAGGAGAGAGTGTGCCATGTACCCTATGGACTGATGCTGGTACCAAGCCCTAGCTGGCCTTCGCACTCTAGATTGGCTTTCTTTCGCAGTCAAGGACTGAATTAGGAGTCTTTAGAGAGAGAGAATAAAGAGATTATTTTTCATTATTTTTAAATGTTTTTTTTTTAATTTGCACAGCTGCACAGGGGAACTAACTTAGGCACTTTCTGTTTTTAAAACAATAAGGTCTCATGGCTTCATTTGGAGCCCACAGTAACAAAACAGCCCACCAGTCAGATAGGGAAGCTGGCCGTTCATCGAGCGCAGATCTACATCCTTGGCCTAAACCCTAATGAAATGAAGTCTTTTACACCATGTCCTACTGGTGGTGACTTTCCTTCCTAAACACAACACTGGATTATTGCCATTGATGTCACTGATGGTAACTACAAAAGTGAACTCGAAGCAAAGCACAATCTTGCAGTTGTTCCAGAATTCTCTAGAGACCTCTAAGATTATGAGGGAAGAGGTTTCACTAGCAAGGTACTGGGAAGTTTGTAGTCTCCTAGGAAACCCCATCATGTGCTGGCCCTCTGAGCGAGGGCTCTCCATCTTTCTACATATCTTTCCTGATAATTCCAAGGACTGGATTTTCCTTTTCAAAATGCACTTTGCTTTTTTTGTATGTTTTGTTATGTTGAGATGTTTCTAAAGAAAAGATTTTATGTAATTATAAGACAAAGTGTAGTGAATTGTACAGCTGTTGTAATAATGACCTATTTCTATATAAAATAAAATTGTACGGATTATGTGTAAATTATTTTGTATCTGAGACACCAGTTCCTTTCCCAAATATAAAAGTATAAAAGTTTCCTGTGTTTTCCTGTGAGTGAACATTTTGTAATAAATTAACAAATTTGTACAATTTCCTTCGTCCCTTGTTGTACGTCCATGCATACACCTTTTTACTGGGAAACATTTTTTTTAATTTTAAGATATTTTAAGGGAAATCAAAGATTTGGAAACAGTGTTGTTAGCTTCCAATTACTGTGACAAATAAGTGAGGCAACTTAAAAGGAGGAAAGGAAGGCCGGAGAGACGATGGCTCAGTGGTTAAGAGCATGCGCTGCTCTTGCCGAGGACTGAGCTTGGTCCTTAGCACCCACATGGCAGCTCAAAACTGTCTCTAACTCCAGCTCCAAGGGATCTGACACCTTCTTCTGACTTCTGCAGGCTTCTAGGTTCTTGCTGTCTTATTCAAAGAACTGAAGGAGCACACACAAATAGCAAAGTAGCAAGCGGTCTTATTCAAAAACAAAAATACACAATAGATACAGTACAAGGGAATCCAAAGGCCCTGGGTTACTGCATAAGGAAAAGCTTCCTTTTTGGGGTCCAGGAGGAGGAGGAGTCAGTTTCCAAGTGTGGGGTGTGGGTAATTTTGTGTTTCTGTTGACAGATTTGGATTGTGTAAGACTGTTCGCTGTCCATGTCCTTTCCCATAACACATCTGATTTTAATCATATGCATATCCAACCATGCATAGGCACAGGATGGGAAATGGGATTTTTTTCCTAAAAGTTCACTCAGTGAACATGGGTTGCCTTGCTGTACATGCACATAAAGCCAGTCCAGGCTGGGTCAACTCATAACCTCTAGTCCGAGGATATTTCAGGATGTGTCTGACCACAGAAAGGGAGTTACCACAGGTTGTTAGGGAGTTACTGGGAATTATAGGGCAGGTTGACTGGCTGCTTTGGAGAGAGGTACTGATAGCTCCATGCAGATGGGGCTTCCAGGCTTCTAAGCTTTTCCTGAAAACTACCTGGCTCACTAACACACTGTGTTTGGGGACCATCAGGATATCTCTTTTTCCAAAAGTGCTGACTGCATGGAGCTACATTCTCTTCGCTGCTCCACTGCTATAGCTCTCTCCTTTCACCCTTTTCTGTAAAATGACAGCTTTTCTCAGTCCTATAGTTAGGATCAATCTTGGGTACAATAAGCAGGTACTACAGAAATGTATCCAAATGGCATTTTTTAAATGGTGATTTCATTATTTTTATTGGTACAACCATTACTGTCACAAAGGTGAACCACTGAGTCCTTGTAAAGTGCTTGGCGCCCTACATGTTTACATGCGTTACACTACTTAATGGTTTGGAACAAAAAGTATTCTCAGAATCTTTCATCACAGGTCGACACTGATCATGAATCTGTTGGGAATGGCCTGGGCACCACTTGCACACCCTGTGCACAGCACAAGCTCTATTTCTTGAGCTGAGGGGAAGTGGAGCCTTTCCTCCCATGCAAACATGCGGACATCTGGGTACGCCCCCAGCTGAACATCCAAGACCACAACACTTAAACATGATGCTTATGCTCTACAAAAGCAGCTGATGGTGTGGTTGGTGTAAATAACCTGACTATAGCATCCACTAGATGTCAGTCATTGGATCAAGAGTTGAATGGTTTGTGATGAAACTGTAAATTTTTTTTTATTCCTAAAAATTTAATGTGTCTAATGTCATAGTAAAACTGTTGAGTAAAAAAGGACAGAATCAAAATTCTTCCTGCCTTTTATGTTGGAAATTAGTTTACTATCTACAGTACTGAATACATTTCATTGGCGATGAGACTAGCTAACGAAGGACCCTTAATGTGTCCTGTTTGCTCTTCATTTCTCATGGAACAGAAGCTGACATTTTTGCATAAAAATTCAATGTTATGAATTGGAGGAAAATAGTGAGCTCTACAGGACCATCCCTTCAATATGGTGCTATCATCACAGCTCTGGGACAGCCTCAATTGAAGGGCCTCCTCCTCAACTTGAAATCTAGATTGATCATTGGAATAATGAATGTGTTTCTATTATGAGATGAATGTGACTGATTAATGGCCTTGATTAGGTATCTTACCTTGGTCTTAAAATTTGTTATCTGTTTTCTTCATTGTATGTGTTTATTAATACCAGTAAAAACAGATTATCACACATCTTCCATAAAATGATTGTGATAGAAATGTCACTTAGTGTATACAATGATGCACCACCTGCAGCAAACATATTGGGGTATTACATCATTCTAAGTGCAGTACAGGGTAGCTGAGTTCAAGTCCAACTTGATTGATGTGGGCTCCCATAAAAGCTCATGGCATTTTTTTATTCTCGTGTCCTCTTCCTCAGAAAAAGGTAAAGCCAAAATACTTTGTGTTCACTGGAAACATTTACTTTGAAGGAATGACCATTTGGGGGTCATTTTTGAGACAGTGTTTCCCTGTAGCCCCACCTGGCCTGAAAGTCGATATATATAGACCAAGCTGGTCTCGATCTCACAGAGATCCACCTGCCTTTGCCTCCCTAGTGCTGGAATTAAAGGAGTGTGCCGCCACACCTGGCTCAAACCCCATTTTTAAAACAAAAAGTCCATATGAAACTAGACTACCTAGTTTTTTAATTTAATGTTTTCTAAGGCTTAGAGATCTGGTTTTTCTATAAAAGCATTCATAGTTTAATTGTATCCATATTATAAATTGGCTGTTAGACTCCTAAGTGGAGCACCGTTTTTTAATGGACACAGTGGATCCATTATCCTGAGATTGTCTGGCTGGAGCCATTAAAAGAGGGTGGAGGATGTCATGTTCCTAATTTAATTTAGCTCTGCCTAAATCTTACACATGTTCAGAATTTGGGGAAACTCAAAAACCCTTGTATTGTGTAATATTTCTCTAAATCCACCACACCATGGGAATTTTAATCACTGAGATTTTCATTCACTAAATTGTCCTCATCAAAAGTCCATTTTGCAACCCCATCCTTGTTCCAGAAAAACCACGACCTCGCTATTTGGAAAACTATAACGTCTTGAGAAAAAAGGTGTCTTGGCTCAAGAGACATGACTAGGGTATACTTAGTTTAAGATCTTGCAAAGTAACTAAAAAACATAGCATCTTCTGTGTCTGAAAACTAATGGTCATCAAATTAATTATAAAATGTCATTTTTATAGGCAACATATTGACCAACTTTTTTTTTCAGACAAGTTTTCACTATTAGAACAGGCTGGTCTGGAACTCACAGAGATCCACCTGCCTTTGGGATTGAATACATAGACCACTATACCCAGCTACATTGACCAACTATTAAGCAGTTCTCAGCCACAACACTTTTCATTCTTGCCAAAATGTTCTGGCAAATTTTGACTGATATAAAATGGCTTCAATTTCTTATCATAGTGTATAGATGCAGCCTCAAGATCTCAAAGTCAGTCACAAATATCCTGCAATCATATCTAATTTGCAACCACCAGAGAAATGCTGTTAGTGGTCTTTTGGACAGGCTCACATAAACTTTATGTTATGCAAATAAATAGCTTTGTTTTTCTCCAGAAAAAGCTAACCAGAAATGGGTGAAGTTGTTTTAGGATTTTTTCTTAATCATTATTGGGCATATCTATTGACTCCTTAAATTATTCATGTTTTACTTTTAGCATGAAGTCAGAAACTTATAGTCTTTTATAAACTCACTTTTTCTAATTAACTATTCCTACTATATTTATGCTCAAATCAGTATGGCCTGGCAAGTAAGAGCTTGCTTCTTTATTTGATATTTATTTATTTATTTATTTTTCCAGATTTATTTCTTACATATCAGGGTCATGGGCTAGCTTGAGGGTTTTTTGGGTTTGTTTTTTTTTTCCCCCTCAAAGCATGGAATCAACCACCCTCCTAATTTTCTTTTTACTTTAAAAAAAAAAAAAGAGTAAAGATTAAAGTCTGGATGAGACTGAAAACTGGTGTTGGATAAAGTGTTGTTTCAGCTCCTGTTGGCTCATTCTGTTGAGGTAGAGTTGAAAGCATACACAGCCATGAAATGCATAATGATGGCAGTCACTGATGAACAGTGTGGACAAAGTAGGCTAAACCACTCAGATGTGTACACACTATAACGTTTAACAATGATGAATTTGCTCAGTGGCACATCTCTCAGAATATATCCTGTTAACAATAGACTCACAACTGTCTTTCAAAGTCATGATTTTGCCTGTGTAACAGATCATGGTATGTTATTCTACCTATCTAATGTGAGTTTTGTCAATTACTATCTTCCTCCTAAATTGCCATCCCAGGTAAAGTCACTTATGAACTACTGATTTTCATTTTGGATACTGTCTGCAACATTTCTCACCTTTTGGGTCCACTATAGCTGCCTTACTTAGGGTCCCACCTCAGTTGTGTCATAGCAGCAGCATCCTTACCAATCTTCCAGGCCAATCCCTTTGGAGCCTTTCACCAGGCTTCTTCCCTTTTTTGTGGTGGACGGTTACTAGGGATCAAATTCCCCTTCATATGTTAGGAAAGTGCTCTATTACTGAGCTATATCCTAAAACTTTTTGTCTGTTTTTTTTGTTGTTTATTGATTTTATTTTTGTGTATTTCATACAGAACCTCTCTCTCTCTCTCTCTCTCTCTCTCTCTCTGACAAGATCTCATTGTGTAGCCAAGGCTGCCTTCTATGTACCACAGGGTAGCCTCCACCTTAAACCTTCTATATTCCTGCCTTAGCCTCCTAAGTGCACCACACCTGGCTTCCTTTAAAAATTTTTTGAATGACTCTGCTTGAGAAGTTACATTGGAATGTCCTGGAGCTCAGCCCAGAATGGCAGTGCCAAAAGAGGGTCCCCCCCACCCCCAGTTCTTAGTGGCTTGTACCCCACTAAGAGAACTAGAATGTCCACTTCTTTCCTGCTAGCACCACGGGGAAGCTTTCAGATCTTGTGAAGTGTGTCTAGCACAAGCCCAAAACACAAACCAAAGAAATATCATTAGGCTAAAATAATCATAGTAATCCCATTTGTTTTTGGCAGGTATGTGGTCTCCCAGCTTAATTATGAGAGTACCAGTTCTAGGTAAAGATAAGAAAGACCTTGGGGGCTTCCCACCTTTGTCTCTCCATTCCTTCCCTCCCCCCCTCCTCCTCCTCTTTCTCCTCCCCCCCCTCTCTTTCTCTCTCTCCTTCCTAACTTTTTGTTTGTTCTCAGACAGAGTCTAGGTCCTCTTAGCCTGGAACAGGTACATAGCCCAGAGATCCACCTACCACTGCCTCCAGAGTGCTGGGATCAAAGGCATGCGCCACAAAGCCTGGCCTCTCTATTTTTTGAGATAGGGTCTCAAGTGGCTCAGGCTGGCCACAAAGTATGTAGTCAAGAATGACCTCGAACTCCTGATCCTCCTGGCTTCCACCGCTCAAGTGCTGGGATCAGGGCCATGCATCAACACATTCTGTTAAGTCTTTGTTTTCTTACGAGATGCTAGCAGAGCTAGCCTGTGCACTCCCAGCTCTTGTCTTTGTAGAAACCTCGACGTACAGTTTCCCTCCGCTAAAGGATGCAGAGTCCCGGGTACCTGTTGAGACCATGGAGCCTCTGCCTGCCTCTCTCTCTCCTTGAGATCCTGCAACTTCTATCCACTGCTTGAACTCCTATTTGTAGGCTGAGGATTTGCCTGGGTCCGGGGAATCCTCCCATGAAAGTACCTGGCCTTTATATGGTCCTTTTAGACTGGCAAAATAAATAAGCTCTTTAGTGGTGACCCTATCTCAGTCATTCCTGAATCATCAGCCAGGCACATCACTTAGAGATTCAGTAGATGTTGACTGAATCAGTGAGTGAACAGAAAACGAGAAGGCGGGTTCCATTCCGCAACAAAGCAGCAGCAGCCGGAAGAAGGTACAACTGCCCTCGGGTAGAGGCCTCGGCCCCGCCCAGGCCCGGCCAGGCCCCGCCCACAACCCCACTCAGCCCTCCCCTGAGCGCTACACATGTGTCTCAGTCTCGCCTCTCTAGCCCCGCCTCCGGTAACCCGGAAGTTGTATTTGCAAACGCAGCTTTCCCTCCCACAATCCTTTGCGCCCTTCCTTTCCAACTTGGGCCTGGCGGAGTGAGTATGGGTTATGGGATCCCGACTCCGGAATCCGGCTCCATCCTCCTCGGGCACGGGGCCCGGCCGGTGCGACGGGTTGTGTTTCGAGCCGCTGGAGGCGCAGTGTCCCGGGACCATGGGGCCTGCGCTGACTAAAGGCTCCCGGGCCCCAGGGCGGACAGCGGCGGGGCTCCTGGGGTCGCAGGGGTTCCGGGTCCGGGCGTCTGAGCGGCGCGGGTGCGTGGGGTGCCCGGGCCAGACTCCTAGAGGGGAACTTGGGCTTCTCCCACTGCCTGCTTAGAGCCTCCCTGTCGCCTGCATTTAGATGGCTCCCGCAAAGAAGGGTGGCGAGAAGAAGAAGGGCCGTTCCGCCATCAACGAGGTGGTGACCCGGGAATACACCATCAACATTCACAAGCGCATCCATGGAGTGTGAGTATCGGGCGGCTTTGGGGCTCGCGAGCCCAGTTCCTGCGTCTGCCTGTTAATCTCGGAGCTTGCCCAGTTGCTTAGAGGTTACGTGGTCTAGAAATCACGCGGCTTTTTCAGTCTTGTTGCGTGTAAACCTCCCTTTAAAGTGTGTAGGGTGTGGAGTTTATTGCACAACATAGTACCTAGAAATGTGAGATTTTGTGTGATTGAACACTTCCAGAGGCGATTTTGGAAAGTTTGTTGATAAGACGAGAATATTCCACTCTGGCTTTATTAATTAATATGGAAAGCAAAAATGAGCCCAGAATGTGAAATGGGATTATTTTTGTCCTCACTCGTACAGATACTAGTACTAGTAGAGATGTAATACTGGACCGAAGATGCTGGCGAGGAGCGTAGGTCACCAGAGTTACAGGGAGATGTGTAGTGGGGGCCCGTGGCTGTTCGCGTTTGTAAGATGTACTAACCTTGTACGCGGTGTTCAACTCTTGGGCTTGCTAACTTGCCGGTGGTGCTTACTAGTGATAATGGGTACCAAATCTCTTAGGTACGGATTTTGGTTTCCGAGGTTAGGGTCTCACTGTGTATCCAGACTGGCCTTAAACTTGCCACATAGACCAGGCTAGCTTCAATCTTCACCTGCCTTTACTTCCCAAGTACTGGGTTTAAAGGTGTGTGGCACCATGGCAATGTGCTGTTTTTAATAGCAAAATGTTTTATATAGTGAAATATTCAAACATCAACTTGTGGAAAATAATTTCTGGGACTTGCCTGGGCAGTGATGGGACAAATTTTGCCAGAGATTTAGATGGGTGACAGCATTTTGTGTTATTTGGGGTCCTCTGGTGGTTCTGGACCTTAAATCTGTTGATGTCTGTAAGGATGGGAGTTCCATCCTGTTTCAGGCATATTGAGTGAGCTTAATTGTTGGGCACTGTTCTGAACTCTGTAGATAGGCAAAAAAGTACAGACCTGTCGTCCTAGTTTACTAGTAATCTTAGTCTCTGCTTGGTCGGAAATGATTGGCGTTTGGGCCTTTGAAATAGTTTCCATAGTCATCTTTCCTGCATCTACTTAATATGGAGGTGTGGTGTTACAGGTTTTAAGCAGCCAACTGCTATTCGAGGTCTCTGCTTGAGTAAACAAGTACCTCAGGTTTGATGTGTTCTAAACTTGGCTTTCTCTCTCAACTTTCCTTTTCATTCATTGGTGTAGTTCAGCCAGTGCTCTTACCTTCTGATTAGGTCCACAGTCTGACCAGTTGGCTGTCCCATTGTTTCTCAACAGAAGTGGTAACAGCAACAGCCCCAAATCCTCTCTTCACATTCCTAGCTTAGGTTAGATGCCAAAGAGCAGTGGGTCTCCGTTGCCTTTGGACCTTGGGCCTGGTATCCCCGTGACTGTCTTCTGGCTTATCTTTCTTGGTAGTATATTGGTACCATCTGGTAGGTCATTTGCATAAGTTATGTGAGCAACAACAGTTTTATCTGTTAGAGCAACTGATTTTTTTTTCCATCTTTTTGGGGGTTTTGTTTGGCTTTTTGCGATCGCCTTGCCTCTGCCTCCCAAGTGCTGGGATTAAAGGTACACACCCCCACCCTGCTTTTTCTACCCCCTTTTATACTAGATAGTAATATGTGAAGCCAGTCTGTTTGGCTGGTGAGGGGACCACAGAGGGAGCAGTCCTGTGTTTTCGGGTTGTGCAACCCTTACTGGATTTTTTTTCAGCCTGTAAGTTTTAGGGTTTGAGGGAGGAACTTGCTGTGTTACCAGTTTGGCTTCAAACTTGAAATCTTGTCCAGCCTCCAGTATGGAGATTATAAGCATGCCCCATGGCACCATGTGTTTTTTTGTTCATTTAACTGAAGGCACAAACTCTAAATGAAGTGTCTGCTTTTGGTGCCTGACACCTACCTAGAGCTCCACAGAATGTTGAGAGAAAAGTCTACCGTGACAAATCTCTTGGGAAATCAGGGCACTTTGCATTTGATCACAGTTACCCAGGGTTTGTTTGGCCCTAGTACTAATAATGCTAGTTTCACAATGGTGAAAAAAAAGATTGTTTCTGCCTGGTTTTGGGTTTCATTTTAATGGAACCAGGACATGCCATGTGTATGTTAAATACAATGATATTCTTCTATTTGAACCTTAGGGGTTTTAAGAAACGTGCCCCTCGGGCACTCAAAGAAATCCGGAAATTCGCCATGAAGGAGATGGGAACTCCAGATGTGCGCATTGATACCAGGCTCAACAAAGCTGTCTGGGCCAAAGGAATAAGGTACTTTGGCTAGAAAGTAACAGTGACACTTAAGTGTCTCCTTTGGGACAGTCCCTATGATAAATTTGATAGTTTGATTACTGTGTGTGGAAGTATAAAGAAAATACTGGGGGTGGCTCTGGGTGAGCTAGCATCCTTAACTGAGGTAGACAGCAGTGTGAGGGATAAGGAGACACTGCATAGAGCACAGGCTTGGGACCTGGTAAAAGTGAGTGAGATAAGTACCTGGAAGCCCACCAAGAAAGCAGTGGTTCCAGGGCCGGGTCTGCTGACTAGCCCTCCCCTAGAACATATCTTTTTCTGCTGTTGGTGGTAGGAGATAGTCAAATATCCTATGAATCATGGGACAGTTCTCACAAAGGCTGATCCCCTTAAATGTTCATAGTGCTGGGGTTGGGAAGTCCTATAAAGTGGAGTAGGTGATTTGTACTGGGAAGGACACACACCCAGTGTTGTGGTAGAGACCAGCTACAGGAAAGGTGATGGTATGGTGTCGACTGATTCTGAAGGAGGTTGAAGATGCTGCACCTGGGTAGTACTTAGTCTTGTGATTGTTGCAGTGGGCTAGCATGAAGGGATACGGGACAGGAGAGGCATCTAGTAAACAGGTGCGGTGCCTACCTTGAGGTGAGTGGAACGGTGTCACAAGAACCAAGGGAGGGCCTAAGTACTCAGCACATCCTACAGTAAGTAAAGGAAAAGATAAATCCACTACACTGCTGTTTGATAGAATGAGAGGACTTTGAGAGTGCCTTTAAATTAACGGAAATCTCCCGTGGCAAGACTTTCCTGCTAACAGACAAGTCCAAACACTTGGGCCCATTTTCTGCTTAGGAATAATTGGGTGGTTATCAACTGATGGCTCCCTTACCATGTCTTCAGAGAGCATCCTGGGGTGGCAGCATTTAATTCATTCACTGAGTATATTTTCCAGAACAGGTAAAGGCTGATGTGATCAGAGCATTAGAAACAAGATGTGTGGGTGCAGCATGGGGCTATTTTCTAAAAGGAGCATTGACCTAAATGGAGCATCTTTTTATTAGGAATGTTCCATATCGTATCCGTGTTCGTTTGTCCAGAAAACGTAATGAGGATGAGGATTCACCAAACAAGCTGTATACTTTGGTAACCTATGTCCCTGTTACCACGTTCAAAAGTAAGTTTCATCCCATTCCACAAAGATGAGATAATTATTGCAGAAAATTTTCTTATTTTATATGCATGTAATGCCTGCAGAAGCCAGAAAAGGGCATCTGACCCTCTGGAACTAGAGTCCAGACAGTTACTGCCATGTGGGTGCTGGGAACAGAACCCGTGTCTTATGAAAGCAGCCAGCACTCTTAACGTTTAACGTCTGAGCCATCTCTCTAGACCCTGTTAGCCTTTGTTTCACCCTTTCTTTTTGTTCATCAAATATTATGTACCTGGTAACTTCAGCAGAAGGCCAAGTGGCAGGCATAATTAATTACTAAACCATTATTAAATTGCAAAATAGAGGGATTTCTGGAGGGTTGCATAGAGGACACAAAATTTGACCATGTTTATAGATTGTCTAGAAGAGCCTTTGGGGGTGTTGTGGTGGACATTGACTAGCGGTCTCTTCTCTTGCAGATCTACAGACAGTCAATGTGGATGAGAACTAACTGCTGAGACTCAAATAAAGTTATAAAACTGCCCTCAGGGTTTGGCTTTCTGGTTGCAGTTAAGTGTTTCTAGGGTAAAAACAGTTTCCAAGCTGTGGGTGTGTCTGTATATAAGCCCATGATGCTTACTCAAAACAGTTAAGTAGATTCAACTTAAGTAGATTGAGCCATTATTTTGGGTGATTGGGAGATGAGTTATGGACATTCCAGATGTAGGATAATAGCATTTTCCAATGGCCCCTGTGTAGAGTTGTCATTTTGTGCTTTGACATGTTTTATAGACCTGCGGGGCTGTATCCTAGTTATGGGAGCTTAAGGTTACAAGGTAAAGGTTTCTTGAAGTTATAACCAGACATTTAAATTCAGGGTTTTTAAAAAACGAGTATGAGTGTGTGGCTTGTATGTAAGTATGCCCATGAACATCAGAAGGCATTGGATCCCGTGGAACTGGAGTTAGGGATGGTTGTTAACCTGAGCCATCACTCCAGCTTAAAGCAAGGTTTGTGTTGGGTTTTTATTTCTGCACATACGTGGTCATGTGTGGTGGTCAAGGCACAGCTTGCAGATGGTCACTGTTTTCTTGTAGGTCCCAGGCTTATCCATAGCGCTTTTAACCTTCTGAGCTGTCCTGGCCCCGAACGTGAGTCATTAGTGTTTACAGCAATGATATGTGTTGGATCCTTCCATACATAAATAGTTCTTCACAAGCCAAAATTGGGGACTACCTAGGCCACAAACATGGCAGGGGAGAGTCCAGCCTGGCAGTTTCCTGGAATAGCCTACACCCTAAAATAGCACAAGGTAATACAAAAAAAAAGTTTTATTAAAAACCTTGGAGGCCAACATTGAAAGCATGGTTTATACACATTTTGGTAGGACATACAAAGTGAATAGAACCAAATATATTAAAATGGTTTCAATTACCAGCATTGAAACAAAATTAGTGCAAAAAAAAGCTCTGAGATCTCGAAAGTGAGCTTGATTCTTGACTGCTCCCATTTTCAGTGAAAAGACAACCTGGGCTGTTGTTGCCTCATTTACCTGTTCTGCCAAAGAACAAGGTCGTACTACGGTCACAGTAAAAGCCTATTCCAACAAACCTGGTAGAAGTCAGTCACAGTGTCGAGAGCATTCTACCACTGACTGTCCAAATGACAGTTCTCTTAAGGAATAAATAATGTGTAAAAGTTGCATCAGTTCTTCAGCCACAGGTATGTGAGGTTGCTTAGCAAAATGACCACTTGTAAGGGTTCCTGTTTTTAGATTGAGTTCAGATAGTGCCAGGTCGCCCATCTGTGCTTTGGTGTGTGCGCCCCAGAAAACTACATGCTACAGCTGATTGAGCTTGAGCTCAGGCTGTGATTGGCGGCTCATTTCCAAAGCCTTGAGGCTGTACTGATTAAGCTTGGCATTTTCAAGTTTGGATTTAATGTTGAGTGGCTTTTCAAAGAAGTTTACCAGTGATTGCTCAGTAAGAAGTGACGCTAAGATATGTTCCAGGGAGACAGTCCAGTCGCCTTCTACTGCCTCAGGAAAAGCCCGAGGATCCTGGGGAGTCTTGCCAGTCTCTGCAAAAACCGAGTCCTGCTCAGGAGAAGGAGCCGAGGCCTGCAGCTCCTCGCATTCCTGGGAGCAGCTTCCTGAGCTGCTGCTTCGCTGCCCCACTTCCCCAATCTGCAGTAGTAGAGTGGTTACTGTAGCAATGGCTTGATACAGGTCATTTTCTTCTGGATCTTCGTGGAACATACTGTACAAGGTCTTACAGAACTGGATAAATTCCCTCTAGAGTGGGGGAAAAAGTCCATATATAACTAGGACAGAAGTGTAATTTTATACTTTTAAGAAAAACACTATTTTACCTTTTCAGTGTTTTAACCTAGATTCTATAACTTGATCTTGCCCCACCAACAAAATTAGCAGGTGTGTTACTGCCTGGTGCACATACTGCTAATGCAGAATATGATGCTGTTTTTTGGTTTTCGGGTTTTTTGGTCTTTTTGAGGCAGAGTCTCCCTGTAGCCCCAGCTGTCCTGGAACACACTATGTAGACCAGGCTGGCCTTGAACTCACAGAGATCCGCCTGCCTCTTCCCGAGTGCTGGGATTAAAAGGGTGTGCCACTACGCCCAGCAAGAAGGCAGTTTTAAACTTCATTTTGAAAGTACTTTTTACCAGGGGTTTCAGTGTATACTTGGAAATGCGCTGCTTCTGTGAGTTATAATGTCAGCTCACAGGATGATGATAGTCTTTAACCCAGTATAGACAACTGCAGGAATATTTAGCAATTGAAAATAAAAAACTGAAAAGTATGAGACTCATCAGATAGGAATGCCATGTAGGAGTTGGAGAAATAAAAATTTTCTCAAGTGTTACTGAAATTGAGAATGTAGGTAGCTTGAGAGACTTCAGATGGGACTCAGTTCCAGGATGAAAACAGAGAAGAAATGTCTGGACATGACCACATCTGGGATCGAGCCTGCCTGTCCCAGTGGCAGTCATGATGTTGTAGGGACTCTGGTCCCCTTTCTCAGCCTATTCGTTGAGGGGTGCCAGTGCTAAAGCAGTGGCATTTATAAGAAATTTGGTTCAGTGCAGAAAGTTCATGTTAAGAAGGGAGCAGGCATGCAGATGCTCTCTAGCTGAGGGCTTCAACCTTAGAAAAAGGCAATCCTGAAGAAAATGCATTTGGCAGAGACTGGTTTGGTTGCAAGATAAACATTCCAGAACTGTCAGGTGTTTTAATTCTGGTTTGGTGGTGGTGACTAAAGAAACCAGTACTGACAGCTCTGGGTGACAGAATTTGACTTCCGTGCATGCAAAAGATAAAATGAAAATCTGAAAGTAACTCCCAAGTAGACAGCATTTTTTGGTCACAAAAGGCCTAGGATATGGCTAAGTGACAAAACCTGTCTAAGGCCCTGGGCTTAGTTCCTAATGCATAAAATAAAATGGCAAAATACTCCCATTCTTCGGCGTGAGGACCTAAGCAGACCTTCAGCACCCACGTAGAAGCTGGGAGCAGTTGTAGGCACTCCTTGTTTCCCCAGCGCTCTGGAAAGGAGGGAGACAGGATCTCTGGAATCTACTGACTACCCACCTGCCTAGTGAGCTCCAGGTTCAGTGAGACTAAAGGGAGTAGTGCATAGAGGGATGGAGGAAGGCACCTGCTGTCCTCTGTGGCCTTCCTGTGCAACTGTACATCTGCCCTTGTTTACACCACAATCCTGAAAACTAGTACATAATATCAAAAATCACTGAAGTTCTCTGATAAAGGATCATTGCTAACTTTTAAGCCTACATTTCTCAAGCACTGACAGAGACTCTTAATCTAACTTGTAATCAAATCCTTTTAATCACAGTGTGACACTTTCCTCTCAGGAGTTACAAGATCTTGGAGTTAGAGGTGAAGAGGTGGGCAGAAACAGGCTCATCGCTGAGTTCTAGATCAACCTGATCTACATAGCAAGTTCTAGGCCAGTCAGGACTACACAGTAAGACACTGTCTCAAAACAAGCCCAGAAATACTGAGCTTTGGAAATAAATGGACCCAAGCTTAGCAGGTTAATTCATCTGACAAATTACCAAAATGGTTCATTTTCTTCCCAGAAGAAAGTTATTACCTGGCTCATTTTGGGCAGCTCTTTCTCTGTTTTATCTTTTTCTTTGGCTAAATCCTTAATCATCTGCTTGAGCTGTTTCTGATAATCAATTGTGTCACCTTGAGACAAAGGAAAACAGTTTAAAATCTATGAAAGCAAAAGGGAAATAGGAAGGGATAGTAAGGGAAGGAGGGATTCCACTAAGTAAATTTCATAGGAAACTGATAAGCAAGAGCTCGCATTGAAGACAGTTTTACAATCCACTGCAGATCTCTAGTTTAATAGGGTTTCCTGCTAAAAAAGAGCCTTGTTGAGCAAAGATACAGAAAGAACTCTGTGGACAAGGGACAGTCATAGCAACACTTCCATGTGAAAGGCAGCCAGCCACTGGCTCAATGGTAATTCATAGGACAGGGAGGGACAGGCAGCTAGGAGAGCAGTGAGGATAACCGGAGGGGCACTGCAGGGCAGGCTTGGGGCAGACAGTGAAAACATACGTACCATTGGGCTTCCCCAGTACCAGGGGCCTTGACGTTGACAACAGTGGATTCTTCAAAGGTGACTGGCTGTCTCGGTCATTTTCAGTGAGTGCTTAAAAGAAAAACATTTAAATTGGACACTTTCTATGTAGCCAAAATTGACTAACTTCTAAGGCAAGAAAGAACTGAAGGCCAAGCCAGCAACTCTTATTTGGGTTGCAAAGTCTGCAAGAGCCCATAAACCTAAATGCAAAATAAATAAAATGATCCACATGTATGTGGATGCCATTGCAATTAACATGCAAATTCATACGAGGACACTGCTGATGCTGACCTGGAAAAACATGGCAATAAACCCTTTCTGTGATGCTAAAAATAAATGTCTTAAGTCCCTCAGTGGCATAATAACTGGTAATTATTTAAACTTCGTGACAATTATTTCTCTTTAAGAGTTATTTTTAAGCCTTGAATTCCAAGCAGCATCATATTCTGAGTTTTCTTGAAACACTAAAAAATACCAGAAGCCCCACACACTACTGGCATGAATGTAAAATGGTTTGGATACATTGGAAAACAATTTGGCAGATCCTCAGAAAGTTAAAGAGAGCTACTGTTTAATCAAGAAATCTCAGTATAATCTACCCAAGAGAACAGAAATCGTGTTCACACTAGGAAGTACATGGAAGACCCCAGCAGCCAATGAATAAACAATGGTGTACCCACTCCACTTGCCTGAGAAGTCCAGAATAGGAAAAGCTGTGGCAGGTTAGGAGCGACAAAGGCTAAAAGTAAGGGTAAGGGGTTTCCTCTTGGGATGATGGACAGGTGATTATAGTGACCCTGGCACAACCGAGCTCGCGAAACCAAGGGGCCTCTTAGGTGAAGGACTTGCATGGCATATGACTATAAAGCTATTACAAAATAACAGTTATCAGGGTTGACAAAGACCGTCATTTTAAAAGATTGGAACTTACTAATGATCCCTTCACTGAGAATAAAGCTAAGAAAATTCAGTTGTGATTTAAGAAATTTCCAGAAGATGGCACCAAACCTTTCATAAGCAACAACTATTGGGAGGTAGGTTTGTGGGTGTAGGAACTAGGTAGGATTCTTTTTCTGGTGTTTAGACTGTTCCTAGACTGTTTCTAACTTGCCTAAGATAAATTCTATGTAGAATAGTGAGTCCACTCAGAAACTGAACAGGAGGAAAATTATAAACCCTGAGGCAGGCAGAATGGAAATGTGTTTTGCAGGATATCCACTGGGATAGTAAAAGAGCCTGCTCCCGAAGGGAGAAATACATATACGAACCCTAAAATAACCCTAGTGGAAGAACCACGCATACAGCTGTAAGTACCTGGAGAACAGAGAACAGCAAATAACTCTGAGTAGGTGAGTGTCATTTTAGGGTTCTGTAGCTCAATCTTAAGAATGAGTGTTTCAATTCTTGGAGAGGGTTCTTCATCCTGGCTAGATTGGTGAGATTTCCTCAATTAATATTTGGTCCTTAGAGCAATGTAGGCAGGATGCTTCAGTTCCTGCTAGGCTGACTTTTTTTTTAACATTTTAAAACTAGGAGTTTCTAGTTAACGTCAGTATGCTTTCCTAGGATAACCATAAGAAAAGCGAGGAGCCAGTGTGGTGGGTGTGCATCCCATACTGTTAGACAAACAGGAAGGACAACATGCTTTATCTTACTCTCAATGTTAGTTTCAAACACATCTCATTCCATAATGCTGGAGAGGTTTATTTCCTGTGAATCTCTGATGATGTATCAATCAGTGTTTATCCTATCTGCAGACAATCTCCAACTGTGCTGCACAGATTTGGAAAGCAGATCCATTCTAACTAATTAATCATTCTAACTCCAAGGGGATAAGTATTAATAAAAAAGAGTAAACATTACTGAAGTCTTACCATAATTGAAACTTTTGCATTAGTTTTCATGTTTCTATTGAATTGGCTACATGCAATTCCTGATTAGGACTTTTGGATGACCTCAAGAGATGGTCATCAGCGAGAGCTACTTGGACAAGATGGTAGAAGCAAGCAGCATTTTTCTCTGATTGCAGTAAAGTCCTTTGGTGGTGGTTTTTTCCTTTGCTGTTAATTTGTTTTGAGACAGAGTATCTGTATGTAGCCCAGACTGGCCTCAAAATCCCTCTTACCTCCACTTTCTGAGTGTAAAGTAACAGGCATGTGCCACCACTGTCTGCACAGTACTTTGCTGTTACTGAGGATTTGAGTGATTTAGACACAGTGCACCAGTTCCTCTCTTTTTCTCACTGACAAAGGAAATATTAGCATGTTTTGGGCTAAATTGAATAGATTTTGAGTATAATCATTTTCTCATATCAAGTGTTTCAAAATAAAAAGCTCAAATTTCCTGGCAAAATGGCAAACTAGAAACTGCCTCTACATGGCCTGGTCAAGAAGCGTTGATGTTCACCAAGCCCACATGGCTGCAGTTATCAGCTCCCCGGGGAGGGAAGCATGTGTCTATGCTTCATCCCTTCTTACATATATGTAATCTTGTTTTCAAACTTGCTCATCATTGGAATTTAATTTTCCTGCCCTTTTATCCTACTCTTATTTTTTCTAGTTTCTTGCTCTTCCCTTTTCCCCTCTGTAAAACTTCTACACCTCTTCTTTCTCCTTGCTTTTAACTTTGCTTCCGTCTTTCCCCTTCCCTGCCTTCATCTCATTTATTATTTCCATGTTTAAATAATTCTTAACTTCATTATACAGTCTACAGTAGTTGTGCCATTTTCTATTCTGTGGTCACTGATGATGTATTAGCAGGCTTTAGTCAATTTAATGTATCCCTATATCTTCTACGAATTGAGGGTTCAAGAGAAGAATCCTCGATAGGAAGATCCCAACTAAACCTGGGAAAGGTATCAAACCAACAGATGTGCACATCACAACACAGAAACACAAGAAACAAGAAAAAACAAGGCACATGGCTCTTCCAAATGATAATGCCTCAAACAGTGAATTCAAAGATACTGACACGGGTAAAATGCCAGATAAATATTTCAAAAGCTTTCTGTCTGCTGCCCAGCTAGCTCTTACAGTGCTGGAAGGTGCTATGCAAGCTGCTGGAGAAAACTGTCAGCAGCAGTCTTGCTCTGTTGTAGACCCTGCATGCTATACTACCAACTGCCCGACAACATGTGCCCACTGGTGCAACAGTAGCATGACTAGGGATAAAGAACTGCTTTCTGACTGGACCAGAGACCTACTCCATCAGAGGGAATTCACCTCTGGCATTGTAAACCTGACCAAAAAAAAGGTCCATAGTTGTAGAAGACATAGTCCCAAGTGAAGAAGCTGCTTCTCGTTTAGCTAAATGCACATAATGTAACTGTCAAGTTGCCTTCTAAATACTGTTTATGCCCACAGAATACTGCTGCTGTCAGCTGTCCACAGAAAAGCTGCTTTCTGCAGTGGACAGTGGTTACTGCAGAGGTTCATAATGGTCAAAGTACTGAGAACAGGACTTTTGGAATGCTCAGTCCTAAAATTACATCTATATCACTCCCTCCAAAGCTCGGGGAACACTGAAGAAGAGGGAATGGAGAGCAAGGAGGGGAGGAGTGCTGTGCAACCTGACACGCCCGTGGCATTCTTGCACTCTCAGCAGCTGTGATTACCTGCTTTAAGACCTGCACAAGACTGGGTCCATTAACATGGGGTGGGGGTGCTCACAAGGCTCAACCACCCTGAGGATCTATGGGCAGTTAATGGTTGCTGGGTGGGGAAGAGACATATTCTTCATGGTGTAGACACTGGTAAGGTGTCTGTGCTGTAAATAACATCTCAGGCATGCTTCTAGAAGAAACTAATTAAAATCATTGTCACCAGAAAAAAAAAAAGAAGATAAACTAATTAGGAAGAAAAAAAGGCTCATCAGGAATGGGAGAGGATGAAAGGTTACTGGACTGAATACAATCAAAATCGTGTGTAAGAAATGTCATAATGGGGGGCTGGAGAGATGGCTCAGCAGTTAAGAGCACTGGCTGCTCTTGCAAAGGACCTGGGTTCGATTCCCAGCACCCACATGGCAGCTAACAACCATCTGTAACTCCAGTTCCAGGGGATCTACCACCCTCTTCTGACTTCTGCAGGCACTGCACAACATGGGTGCACTTACATGTAGGCAATACACTCATAAAATAAAAATAATAAAATACAAAAAAAATGTAATGAAGCTCATTGTATATAATATGCTAATAAAAAGTTTAAAGCTCTATAGCAAAATCGCTTAATAAACTCCAATAGCTTCACTAAAAAAGGAAAAGTTTTCTGGTAAAAATAACAAGTGACTTCAAAAAGGGCAGAAATGAGCTGATGAAGTCAATCCAGGATATGGAAAGGAAAGTCAGCAACAGAGAAAAGGTAAGCAAAATGGATCAGAAAATCAGCAATGAAGATGAAAAACTTCAGCAAGGAAATTAAGATTTGGGGAAATAAAAAAGAGGGGCTGGGATAGTGTTTGCCAGGCAAGCATAAGGACCCAAGTCCAAATACTCAGAACCCGGTGCTAGAGCACATCTACAACCCTAGTGCTCCTTTGGTGAGATGGAACGTGGAGACAGAGTCCCTAGAAGCTAACAGATCAGCGAACCTGGTGGATGCAGATGCCAGCAACAGAGACCTCTCTGAAACAAGGTAGAGGGCGAGGACCGAAAACTAAGGCTGTCCTCTGACTCCCAGGTGTGTACACCCCCTTCTGTCTGCAATAAATAAAAGCTTCAAGAACACAGAAATATTGGAAATGAAAAGCTCAACCAAACAAAAAGCTAGTGGAAAACATCACCATCAGATACAACCAAGTAGAAAGCACCTCCAGGATGGAGCATGAAGAAGAAATACTACATCCAGACATCCATAAAGAAAAAAAAATTACAGCAGAAAATTCCTTAAATCTAGAGAAAGAAATGGACATCCAAACCCAACAGGCAGTTAGATAGAACTCAAAATAGACAAGACCAGAGAAGAATTTCTCCATTACATTACAGTCAAGATGTCAAAAATTTAAGCAAAGAGATATTAAAAACTATAAGAGAAAAACACCAACTGATCTACAAAGAAGAGACATCTGAATGATATCAGATCTCTTATCAGCAACCTGAAAAGCCCAGAAAGTATGGAATACATTTCATGTCCTGTTAGCATGGGCTAGCAGAATTAATACTGCAAAAATGGCTGTTTTAATGAAACCTACACATTTGACAGAATCACCATCAAAATCTCAATGCTAAAGGCCCCACGATACCTTATCTCAACTTAACTCTACAGAACCATAGTATCAAAAACAGCATGATACTAACACAAAACAGACATACAAACCAATAGATAGAATAAAGAACCAAGAAATAAATCCATACAGCTACAACCAACCTTCAACGCATGGGCAAAAACATACTGGGAAAGACAGCCCCTGCAACAAATGGTGCTGGGAAAACTGGGTATCCATACGTAGGAAAATGAAACTAGAAATTTAAAATTAGTGGGTCAGCGTCATGCACAAAGCTGACCTTGTACTGAAACAGAGCCCTGCCCGATTGTCCTACTGGGACTTTCTTACCTGGTGGGATATGAAGCCTGTATAGCAGCTTAATTTTCTCATTCATTTCTCCATTGTACATGATATCTGAAAAATATTAAGAGAGAGAAACTGTCATGGCTCAAGTTCACAGTGGGCCATTGCTTGCTGCTCCCAAGGCCCTCACCCAAAATACACCTCACGTTAGAGATGAAAATGTCAAGAGCCATGAGTTATAAGACAGCACCATGAATGTTGTCTGAGCTACAGGGCAGCACCATGGATGTTGTCTGGCCTTGTACTTTTCAAAGATTTTGATTTTATACAGATGGTTTAGAGATATGGCTCCCAACAAGCCATGGTCACACCCTGGGTACCAAGGAGATGGAGTCCGTGACCTTGTATGTTGAAAGCCCGAGTCTCTCCCCACTCCCTGAGGGGAGTGCAAGGGTAGCCCGGAGAGGAGCCTGCAGAACAAAATTGTAAAATCACATAATATGTCAGGCAGCAAGCTGCAGACACACTGTATGGATCTGCCTGCTCTAGCAGTCCACCTTGTGTTCACAAACACACCCTAATCAACTCACTGCAGTGAAGACCTGCAGTCATACCTAGACAGCTCACAAAGGCCTTGAACTCCATGAGCTGGTCCATGTTGTCATCCAGTAGCCTGAATGTTCTCTCAGCAAGGATCTCCGTATGGGCTCCACAGGTCCATGGTGAGACCAGCTGGAACAGGTGTGCAAACTGCCGGGCATCGATGCGGTACTGCTCAGCATAGGGCCTGCTGGGGTCATGACGCAGGGCCATGGGCCTGGGCTGCTCCCAGTAGCAGCTCATCATGTGAGCTCTCTTAAAATGGGAGGGAAGAGAAGAGTTGAGTCAGACCCCCAGGTACCTTGGGAGGCTGCACACTTAAAAGGTGAAGCCGGCACAGCCTTCATGGCTGCTTTGCCTCGGAAAGTGCTGCTTATAGAATAGCAGTGCTACAACAGGACAGAGAAGAGGCTGTCACCACCTCCCCCAAGTCAGGCATGTGAATATGTTTCCTTGTTATTCTCACCCATGTGAATATGCAATTTTGGCTTCATTAAAATGTTCTTATTGTGGTAAAATATACATGACATGAAATTTATCATTTATCCAGTTTTAAATTGTAGCTCAGCTGACATGGTTTTAATTGGGAAGACAATTTTTATTCTGATTATTGTCACTAAAAATCCTTATTTGAAAATCAGAAAGGACAATCAAATCAACAGAACCTCAAAGAGCTAGTAGTACTGGCTGCCTGGAGGGCTGGAAGATGAGGTGCAACCAGGGGCAGGGGCCCGACTTCCTACTGCTTTCTTTTTATATTTCTGAATTCTGACCATGAATATATTAAAACTTTAATTTTTTTTAAAAAAAGAGGCACAGTCAAGTCCTGGAAATTCACCAAAAACTAAAACAATCAGGCTGGAATGGTGGCTTAGTGGTTAAGAGCATTGACTGCTCTTGCAGGGGACTTGGGTTGGTTCCCAGCACCCACATGGCAGCTGGCAACCATCCATAACTCCAGTTCCAAGGGATCCAACACCCTCTTCTGACCTCCGTAGGCACTGCATGCATGAGTGCACTAACATACATGCAGATGAACACTCATACACATAATTTTTTTTTAATTAAAGCAATCAAAACTGGGGTCTGGAGAGATGGCTCAGGGGTAAGAGCACTGGTTGCTCTTCCAGAGGACCAGGGTTTGGTTCCCAGCACCCACATGGTAGCTAACAACCATCCATAACTCCAGTTCCAGGGGATCCAGCATCCTCTTCTGGCATCCACAGGCATTCCATGACATGGGTGCACTTTCATACATGCAGGTAAAACATACAAACTCATAAAATAAAATAAAATAATTTTTTAAATTGGCCCCATTGAAGAGAACAGTCCAGTCTCTTTAGATAAAACATCTGAACAAATCTCAATTGGCAAAATCCTGATGCCCTTTTTAATGGGGCGAAACAAGTGTCAATGCTGCAAGGGAAGAGATCACTGAGATCAGATTCTATAAAGAGCCAGTACAAGATCATTAGATACAACACAATAACTTTTAAGTGTGGAAGAAAACTCTTAATAAAATAATGTTTTTAAAAAGTGAAGGCACAGGATAAAGCTCCATGTATATTTACACACAGTACCACAGACCTATAAAATGGCTGTCAAGGACCTGAATTAAAATGAAATGCAGTTTTCTAAAAGACTAGGGAAAACTTTAAAAATCCACAATATCACATGCTAAGTGGGCATGAAGTATGGAGAGACTAGCCCTCCCGAACACTAGTGTGGAGACTATAATTGAAAAATCACAGCACTTTGGCAGTACTGACTTGTGGGAATAGGTTCTTTCCTTCTACCATTATGGGGCTCAAACTCAGATTGTCAGGCTGGAAGGCAAGCATCTTTACCTGATAAGCGACCTCGCTAGCCCAAGCCCTTGTTTCTGTTGTTTTTGCTTTGTTTTTGAGACAGGGTCTCATTTTCTAGCCCTGCATAGCTTCAAACTCTCGATCTTCCTGCCTCGGCCTCCCATGTGCTAGAAGTATAAATACACACCACCATGCCCAGCAGTCGCTTGTCTTTAATTGAAAGAATATCTAAAGAAGGTGGTCATCCTAGGCTTAGAAGAGGGAATGAAGTGAGGAAATGGACTTCAGCATGAATCTAACACGTAATTATAAAAGTGTTCCTATGTAGTACTCTTCTTTTAAAAAATATATTTATTATCTTTATTTTATGTATATGAATGTTTTGCTTGCATGTATGGCAGTGTATCATGTGCATGCAATGCCTGCAGAGGCCAGAAGAGGGTGCTATATCCCCTAAAACTGGAGTTACAGTTGTTAGCTGTCATGTGAGTGCTCTGGAAGAAGAGCAAATGTTCTTAACCACTGAGCCATCTCTCCAGCCCTGTAGTCCTTTTCTTAAGAAACTGAAATTATAAAAGGCCAAGTGATGCATGTAAAACCCAACTAGACAACAGGCCCTGAAGGATTTGATCTATATACAAAATCCACGAGGAGACTATCAGGTTAAGCGTGGCTCACACAGGCTCAAAATGGGGAGCCTCTGTCTGCACTACAGGATCAGACCCATAAACACCCTGCCCGCCACTGTAGTGGATTTCTTTTGGAAGTGCATTTGTTTTCGTTTCTTGTGCATGGTTAAGCCCTACATACACCAGAGGTATGGAGCTAATTACAAACAAGGAAACATCCTCTACAGGAAAGACAGAGATAAAAAACAATCTGTCAGTTCCCGCTTCTTTAAGTACACTTCCCTGTGAAATAAGAACAATGGTCAATATGTTAAAAATCATTTTTATTATGAACTTAAAGTTACCTTTTAAACTTTGGAAATTCAGATTTGTGATGTCTCCTATTTTCTCAGATTGAGAACAATTCGCCCTAAATAAATGAATGCTTTTCTAAGCTTTTAAAAAATTTCCTAGGTCCCTACTTAGTTTCTGATATTTTGGTGTCCTATATTACAGTCTGCTTCTCTACTGCTGCAACAAAACACTCTGATCAAAAACAGCTTGGGGAGAAAAGGTTTTATGGCATCGTATACTTAGAATTGACAATCCATCTTTGAGGAAAGTCAGGCAGGACCTGAAGCATGGACCATGGAGGAATACTGCTTACTGGCTTGCTCTCCTGGCCTGTGCTCAGTCTGCTTTCCTTTTAAGCAATAATAATTTGGCTGGGAGGTGATGGTGGGGGAGCTAGAGAGATAGCTTAGAGCTTCAGAGCACTTGCACAGGACCCCAGTTCGATTCCCAGCACCCACATGGCAGCTAACAACATTTGTAACTCCAGTTCCAGGGGAGCTGATGCCCTCTTCTGAACTCCATGGGCACTGCACAACACAGGTGCAGGCAATACATACATGCAGGCAATACACTCATACACAGAAAAATACGTGCAGGCAATACATTCATACACAGAAAATTAAAAAATAAAGTATTTTTTTTAAAGAAATTGGTTAAAGTAATAATACTTTTAAAAAAATTAACTGCCATACGTGCAGGCAATACACTCATACACAGAAAATTAAAAAATAAAGTATTTTTTTAAAGAAATTGGTTAAAGTAATAATACTTTTAAAAAAATTAACTGCTCAAAAGCACATTTAATACAGTAACTCCCCCCTTAGTTTCTCTGAATTTCTGCAGCATCACTTTGACTTGATTGTTCATGGGTCTATTTTATTTCCCACTTTTATTTTGCATTTGAAGTCTTTTTCCTTGGTAGATTTGTACACATCACTAGATGCCTCAAATTAAGTCAGACCTACTCTGACTCTACTTCCTACAGTGGAGAGACCATCCTCTCTGCCCCAGGGCTGTCTTCAACCCCCCCCACCTGACCCCTCAAGCATGTACCCTCGGGTGGACAAGGGAAAAGGAGGCACCCCCCCCTTCCCAGGTGCTACCATCCCAAACTGTCGAGGGTTCTAGGGCAAAAAAAGCAAGGAGACCTCTTGTCTCTAGATGGGGTGAGAAGAATAAATTGAGGAAGGAGATGTGGTATACTGTTGGCTCAAATGAAAGCTAACAGGCCTCTCCTCATCTTAACCAGATTGCCAGCTGAGGCTGGTACATGGCAACTGCTTAGAAATGCTTATTCCTCACATGCAAAAGTCAGGCTCCCAATTTTCTGTAAGGAAGGTAAAGTGCTTTCTTATAGAACACAGGACCACCTGCCTAAGAGTAGCACCACCCACAATGGGCTAAGCCCTCCCACATCACTCACCAATCAAGAAAATACCCACACAGACATGCCCACAGGCCAGTCCGATAGAGGAAATTACCCAATGAGGCGTCCTCTCCCCAGGTGTGTCAAGATATCAAACAGAACACTAATTTGTTTTCATACAGCAAAGGAAATGATGTTGTTTATGGGCAACACAGACCTGGCAGTTCTTGCCTCACATTCTGCTCCTTAGGACTGAAGCTTACCAGGAACCTCCTAACCAACAGCCCATTTCTGTGCCAGCTGGCAAAGCTCTCCTAACTTGTGGAGCACTCTGACAGAGCTCCTCTGCAGCAGCACCCTTGGGTGTTACTGCGAGTGCTGACTCTGACAATCGGCTCAGAAGAAAGGGGCTCAAAAGATGGCACCAGAGTAAGCCCTAGAAGCCTCTGCTACCTCCTCCCAGTCTTTGTAGGGTAGCAAGAGTCCACGAGTCTGCGTCTTCCCGTTTTCATGTACTGCCTCAAGCAAGAACACCATGAAAGTTGGGTGTGGTGATGCTCAATCATGCTCCCAGCACTTGAGCACCTGCAATGCTGGGGCAGGAAGATCAGGAATATAAAGCAGCATCAGCTACATAGTAAGTTCCAGGCCAGCTACATAAGACCTGGGGCTACATAAGACTTTGCTCAAAAGTAAGTAAATAAGAAATTTTTAAAAATCAAAAAGAAGAGTACTGCTAGGCCTGTGTCTAAAGACATGCTTTGCAGGGTGGCTTTATATAACAAAACCTAGAACTTCACTAAACAGCCAAGAATTGGAGACCTAGTTTGCTGTACTACTACCAGTATAACGAAGTTATTTTAAATGGAGAAGATCTGTGTATGGAGGAGGTACATGCCTATAATCCCAACTACTTTAGACACAGAGCAATCATAAGTTCAAAGCCGCTCTGGGCAACTAGTGAGACCCTGTCTCAAGTTTTTAAAATTTAATTTAAATGAAGTACAGTGCCCTTAAACCCCAACTGGAGAAAATTATACCCCAACAACACTGATAATAGTGACAATTACATGGTAGCATAGAAGAGTGCTGGTAACAACAGCAAGGAAAAAAATCTATGAAGCTGCTGGAAACCAGACACAATACAAAGATGTGTCTGTGTGCTGTGGGGCAGAAGCAGGAGTAATTTAGCATATCAGGTGATGATTTCAGTAAGGGCCACTGTTTCCTCTGGACTAGGAATCCACGTTCAGTGTAGAACAGTGAGGATGGGACCACAATATCAAAGCTTCTCCACCAACACAATCAATTAGGTGCAGGGGCCATACAAACGCTGCTGGGCTGCCCAGGGATCACACTAGCTCCTCCCTCCCATGTGCCAGCCTGAAGCTGGGCTCCAGGGAAGATCAACTATATACAAGAGGCACTGATCTGCTGACAGTGTTAGGGTGAAAGGTTTCTGGGTTAAAACAAGTAGGCATGTTAGCTCGAGCCTCTGCTACCAGAGAAGCATGTGACAGACACCCCCCCTCCCCCTGCCTCCAGGCAGCCACAGACCCCTCCAGGCAGCTGCAGGCTCACCTCAGGCAGGCTGGGCTCCTGAGCTGGGATCTAGCTCAAGGCCCAAGACCCCTCATCCCCTAGATTTCCATACCTTGAATAAGTTGTAGAGTTCCTCTAGGTCTTCAGGAAGAATGGAGACTTCTGGGATAACAACTCGAAGCTTAAGGAAAGAAGAAACAGTGACTAAGTGAATTCCAAGCCTACACTCTTAGGGATCAGAGAGAGGATGGTACTCTCCCTCCTGGTGGGAGGTACATGTGGCAGGCTTGTCTTAGAGTAATGTCTGCTCCTTTCCAGCACAAAGCTCTGGTTAAGCATCTTTCCAAGTTGTCTTTTCTTCAACCTCTTTCCGATTCACACACGGGGCTCTGAACGAACACATTAAGCTCTAATGGGGGTAGAAAAGCTGCAGAGACTCAGCATGGACAGCTGTTTCTGAATGACAATACTTACCGCAGACCACCTATCTGGGCATTTTGAACACCCTACTCCATCTACCACTAAACCATAGGTGTTATCTCCATTTTATAATCAAGGAAACAAGGCTCCAGATTGCAACTGCTCACAATCTGATTCTTAAAATCTCATCCTGTTTCTAAGAGACATCATGGCTACTAAGTGTTTAGTTAATGAGGGAGGGAATAAGGGAAAGAAACGGGAAGGAAAGAAGCTGTGCTGCTTATATTACACCACCAATGGGGGCCACACTTCCAGATTAGCTCTCAAATCCCATGAATCCCATTACAAGGTGTCCTCTGCTCACCACGTTCTGCTTTGTGGTGTCCTCGTGGCCTTGCAGGACCCTGATCCTGTGCTTGCAGCGCAGGTGCTCAATTTGTTCCACAGACTGGTCTCCAAATTTCTATAGGGATACAAGGGACCACTCAAGAGTCTGGTTGTGTCCAAAGGAAATGGGAAGTAGTCCAGAAACCCTCCCTCCATGTCTATATCCCAGGCACACTTCTGCCTCCAACTAGGAAGGGACTTGAGAGGATGGAGCAGGGGCTTCTGTACCTCATAGGAGTCCCGGATCAGGTCAGCAATATCGGTCACAGGATAGGGCTCTTGGTCGTCAGAGAAAAAGGCATGGTGGCTCCCAATAGGGGGCCCTGGGCTGTCTTCATTCTTAATGTGATCTAGAAACCTGAGCACACCCCACAGTTAAAGCCCACATCCACCCTCATCTGGGGACCACATTGCACCCACTATCTACATAGTATATGAGACACACCAACACCTGAAGGAAGGCTAGGCAGCAACTATTATGGTAACTTTAGAAAAAAAAAAAAGCCAGGCTTGTAGATTTAGGCTCAGCGTATTGATAGGCCATGAGATTCTCCAGTCAAGTCTACAAACTCTTTGTATGGTTTTAAGCTTCTAGCATATTCTGAAAAGAAACCACCTATTTAAGAGTCATTCTATTTAACCCTGGCTCCCAAAAACCCAGGTTCCAGTGCTCAACCTGGTGTGATTTTTCTGTTATCAAAGCTCACATGCCCCCATACTCAGTACCTGAGACCTCCAGCTGGCTACCTATACATGAGGTCAGCATTTCCTTGGTGGCTCGGTCCTGTACAAAGCCACTGTGAGTCCCTCTAGGACTCAAGATGTTTCATCTTCTTAGAAGACAAAAGCACTAACAGGCCTAATTCTCCCTGAACACTCATTTGGTAGAGTGAGAGAAGGCAGTACCCTTCCCTGAATCCCCGTGGCAGTGCCACATGGCAGACAGGCTCTGAGAGATCACAGAGGGACAGGTGGCAAGTGGCAGAGTGGAACAGAGGGTTCACAGATCTGGGGCACATGCTGCGGCCCCTGTGGTCTTCCAGGTGTCTCAGCTGCAACCTACTGCATGCCCAGTCAGCCCCAGGACCGAGTGGCCAGAGCCCACCTGCTGAGGATCATCAGGGCGTGGCCATCGTCCTTGCTGCTGCACAGCTCCTCTGCATTGGCTTCCAGCACTGCCAGCCCCAGCTGGAAAATGGCTTTTATCCCATCATAGAAGAAGCAGTCCACGACATTCACGGCGCTCTCCAGAGGCATGATGCTGAGGAACAAAGTCAGGAACCATGAGAGAGAGATGGATGCCAGTGCTGAGAGGTCATTCATGTGCTCCGCCAGCTCTGGGAGGTGCTCCCTGATGAGCTCCTCAAAAACAGACTGGTCCACCTGAGCCCCTGTGAAAGAAGAGCAGAAGCTGTGGTCAGGAAGGTGTATACTCTCTAAAGTCAACCCAAAATTCAGCTTACTCTAAGGTGACCAGAACAATGAAACACTAAATCCAGAAAAGGACTCATATTTAGTTCTGATTTTTGACGTTTTGATCAAGGTCATTTAATGAAAAGAACAGCCTTTTTAAAAAACACATCTGAAATGGACCGTAAACCTAAACATAAAAGCTCATACTATAGAACTTCTAGACAAAAATGTAGGAAAAAGGCAAAATATCTTAAAACATAGAAAGTACAAACCATAAAAAAACTAAAAATTGCTGTTCTTCAAAAGAAATCAACAAAATGCACGCTCCACACTTAGAGAAACCACTGACAATGCATCCACCTGAAAAAGATCTCAGATCTAAAACAAAGCATTCTTGCAGCTTTGTAAGAAGGTAACTAAAAAGAAGGTTTCTTTTTAGTAAGCTAAAGACTTAACCCTTAGCTGATAGTAAACACAAAGAAATATGTTCCAAACCATTAATCATTTGAGAAATGCAAACTAAAATCATAAAATTTCATTTCTAACACATCAGCATGGCTAAAATTAAAAAGACAACCCCAAATGTTAGCAAGGATACAGTAAATGGATCACCCTGCCAATACAAAATGTATGAATCCACTTTGGAAAACTGATAGTTAAAACAATATATATAAACCTATAATCCAGCAATAATCCTAGGGAAATACCCAGGAAAATATCAATATAGATTCATACAAAAAAATGCTTCTATATGAATATTCATTGAAACTTTTTTAATCACTGGCCCAAACTGGAAGCAACTGAATTCCCATTATCAGTCTGATGGTTAGCCTTGGTTGTCAACTTGACTGGATGTGAAATCAACTAAAATGAAAGCTGCTGGGCTCTCCTGTGAGGGTTTCTGTGGTCAGAGTATCTGATATGGGAAGACACATCCTAAATATGGGCAGCACCTTCTGGTGGCAACCCAGATAAAGGGGACATGGACCGACTTCTGCGTGCGTGCCTTCGCTCTTCTGGCAAGTCCCTCTACTCTGTTGTTGCCACTGCTGCATTCCTTTGCTGATATTAGAACCAGCTTCTTCAGGCTTCCAGTGTAAATGGAAAACCAGCAGCTCTCCAGGCCTTCAGCACTATATTGGGACTACTGAGATTCCCAGCCTCATGGACTGAGCAACTACTGGATTCTGGGCAGGTGGTCCTATAATGTATAAAAGCAGGCTGAGCACAGGCCAGAGGAGCAAGCCAGTAAGCAGCTCTCCTCCACAATCTTTACTCCAGGTTCCTGTACTAAGCTCCTGCCTTAGTAGCTTCCCTTGATGACAGACTGTGCTTGAAAGCCAAACAAACCCTTTCCTTCCCAAGTTGGTTTTGGTTAGTGTTTTTTTGTTTGTTTGATTTTTTTTTTTTCGTCTTTTTAGACAGAGTCTCCCTGTACCCCAATCTGGCCTGGAACTCACTATGTAGACCAGGCTGGCCTCAAACTCACAGAGATCCACCTGCCTCTGCCTCCCAAGTGCTGGGACTAAAGGGGTACACACCATGCCCGGCTTGGTCAGTGTTTTTAATCACAGTCATAGAAAGGCTAACCAGAACACCAGCTGAACCATCTCACTTTCCCTGCCACTCAAATCTTTTTTTAATATTTTATTTATTTTTATGTGTATGTGTGTATTGCCTGCATGTAGGTAAGTGCACCCATGTCGTGCAATGCCCGCAGAAGACAGAAGAGGCTGTTGGATCCCCTGGAACTGGAGTTATGGACAGTTGTTAGCTGCCATGTAGGTGCTGGGATTTGAACCTGGGTCTTCTGCAAGAACAGCTAGTGTTCTTAACCGCTGAGCCATCTCTCCAGCCCCAGCCACTCTAATCTTAAACAATCTCCACTTCTCATCTGTATTACTAAGAAGCATCCCTAAGATGTCACCATACATAAACATTGTACCACTTTCCTCCACTAGAAGGTTGCTGGACCACAGAAACAGTGCATATTCAAGTCTAAAGCATACTCAAGACCTGTTTCCAGTGTAGGCAGAGGAGCTAGAGATTCACAAAGATCCTTGCTATAGTTAAGATATGGTTCATTTTACCTGATCCCAATGTTTCCTATTTTAGAGGCTTGGTCTTCAAGAAGGTGTTACTCAGAGGTAGGGACTGGTAAGAGATTCTTAGGTTACTGGAACAAGAGGCAGTTTTTCTGACCAGGTTGTTATAAAAGGAGTAAGCAAGGCTTCCCCCAGCTCTCTGCTTCCTGGGGCTTCACTGAATTACCTGGTGCACTACAGTGCTACAATAGCATAGCGAATTCCCTGAAGTACTATAACTTCAAGTTGGATTGTATGTGTGCAGAAACTAACCGGGCAAAGCTGAGTTAGGATCAGGCCTGACAGTGACTGCCCTCCCCAGGCTCTGTCGTCAGATACAGAAGACGAGGGAGAAGGAAGTCAGTTTACCAATCACTCGGTGGTTGAAGTAATCAGGCAGCATCCTCTCACACACAGCAACCAGCAGCCAAAATGCTTCCTCCTCCTTGGCGTACAGCAGCAACACAGAAGTCAGGATGTTCATGGACTGCATGGAGGGTCACAGAGAAGACAGTTACTGCCCAGGCCACCTAGCCACAGAGACATTAAGAATTCACAAGCTGCTGGGCATGCCTTTGATCTCAATACTCGGGAGGCAGAGGCAGGTGGGTCTCTGTGAGTTCAAGGCCAGCCTGGTCTACATAGTGAGTTCCAGGACAGCTGGGGCTACAGGGAGACCCTGTCTCAAAAAAGACCATCAACACACACACAGAGAGAGGGGCGGGGGGCTGGTGGCTTGGAGTATAGCTCAGTGGTTAAGCACTAGATGCCTGAGGCCCTAGGTTTGAACCACAAAAACATACAAGTCCCAAGTGCTACACAAAGTACATCTTATAAGTAAAACAGTCAGCATTCCCCAGTCAGACTGACACCCAAAAGTGGAATGACCATGATACAACTTGGTCCTCACAGAAATGCCCAGATGAGCAATTAGCACCATTCAGTGTTGTCCCTACACAGGCTGGAATCAACTGTGATGTGGCATCAGGCTTAGAGCAACTACAGTTGTCTTCTGGATAGACGGACAGACAGACAGACAGACAGACAGACAGACAGACACACACACACACACACACACACACACACACACACATACTTCGTTCACTGGTTTTATTCACAGGAAAATGAGATCTTTTATCTCGAAATGTCAGAAGTTTCTTTGACTGAGGCTTCTGTTGGGTTTTTGTTGCTTTCATTTACTAAGTTTCTATGCTGTGCTTGCTGACTACATCCTTCCACATGGACTGGCTCATAGAATCTCATACTCCACTCACATTTCTTACAGGAAAGTGATGGGCCCATGCCATCCTTTCCTCCACAAATAGCCCGTCATTTCAATCCCTGGTGCTTCTGCAGAGGTCTCAATGCTCTTAACCCCACTCCATCTCTACCGTGCTTGAGACAGGGATGGCATCTGCCCTGTCCTGACAGAGACGCCCCATGTTCATTTCTCCTTTCAGGTACCGGGTCAGCCTGTATGCCTGGACAGGGTGATTTTCTTTGGCAATTATTTGTACACTGATTCTAGGAAGAGTCCTTAGGCCTGAATGGCTGGGAATAGAACAGAAGGTAAGGCCAGTCACCACACACAGACTGTGGGGCTCCCACATCTCCATGCACGGTGCCTCACCTGGCAGTATCCAATCTTGGGATTCCGGTGGGCATAGGCTGTCAGCACCCGCCTCAAAGCAGCAATGCCTGTTTCGTTCTGGAAGGCGGGGTGTTCAGGTAGTGAGCGGTGTAGGTCTCGCTCTATCTCCTCTGTTACCAGGCAGCATCGCCCCAGGGACTGCTCCACCAGATTCCCATAGTAGCCAGGGTGTGAGGCCAGGTCTGTCACTGCATCTAAGGGTTGGAAAGCAACGTATCAAAGAGAAGTGATTATCACAATGGCATCACTACCATGAAGGACTTGTCAATAAGGAACATGAAACATTATGAGACCAAACACAAAAACTTCACTTCAGTCAGGTAACCTGGTCCAAAAACAGTCAAAGTAGCTTTGCCAAGAATAAAGTTATATAAAAAGGGCAGAAAGCTCAGAGCTGAGCACAAACTGAGTATGCACAAGGACCTGGGTTCATTCAGTCTCCAGCACATTCCCCAAAGAAGCCAATTTATTAATAAGCTTTTAATAATCTCTGCTCCTCAGTAGTGGGGAGTATACACACATGTGCACATACCATAAGAAATTGTTGCCAGGCGTGGTGGCACATGCCTATAGTCCCTGCACTTGGGAGGTAGAATTGGGTGGATCTCTGTGAGTTCAAGGCCAGCCTGGTCTACATAGAGAGTTCTAGGACAGCTGGGGCTAGAGGGAGACACTGTGTCAAAAAAAAAAAAAAATCTAAAAAAGAAAGAAAGAAAAAAAGAAAACTGTCATGCACCTATGTGCAAAGCACATGAGAAAGCACAACCCGAATTAAGTGAGGCTAAGAAACCACTGGTAGGAAGCCCGCAGCATCCACATACCACTCTGAAGAAGCAACCCAGAACAGGATGGCCGTCCACCCCAAGAGGCAAACCCCAGGCTTCAGCTGGGCAGACGGTAGCGAGGGACAAATGACTGGTGGGTGTGAGAAGTCTATCACTCACCAACGTGCCTCAGAACATACAAGGTGAGGCTCCAAGGAGAGGGACAAAAATGTGCCTAATTCTGCCTAAAGGTTAGGTAAGGTTTGAAATTCTGATGAGTAAAAATACCCTCCACCTCAATTCCCTGTTGCAGTGACCAATGCTGATTCCATCACCATAGAGGCTCTCATATGTAATAAGGCATTTCTACTAGTGGCTGGCAATTACTTACACACTAACATAACCTTATCACCAGGGCAAATATGCTAGCACTAGGGAAAGACAGTCCTTCAAGAACCAATGGTCCTATATTCCATGTGAAAACACAGTTCTACCTGAACAGCATTTGTTTCTGTATGCTAAAGTGACCCAGAGAAATGTGGCTGACAGTAGTAATAGGCGTCGCCCTTGGGGGTGGGATCAGAGCAACGTTATTCCCTTTGCTCACTCCTCTATGTGTGACAAAGGAGGGCTTCCATGGTGTGTCTGCAGCAGGCGGAGAAACAGGAGAGTTGATGACTACACAGGATGGGTGAGGCAATGGTAGAAGAAGCTTGAATGGACATGGATCAAAGCTGAGGCCATGGAGCTGCTGCAAAGAGATTTGTGGCCAGGCGTCTTGGGCAGGAAAGGGGCATGGTCAGGTTGTTAGGGAGGGGTTAATGAGGCAACAGAGGTCAGTGGCAAGAAGCAGCTGTGAGAAAAGCCAAGAGAAGGCCCCAGGTCCAAAAAGGGAGAATGGGAACAGAGTAGTGCCCAGGCAGTGCCTGTAGGAGCCTCACTGGTGACCAGAGCACGGCAGGCCTATGTGGGGAAGCAGTCCCTTGCCATGCACCTGATAACAGCAAAGGTCACACCAGATGGCAGGGCCTTCCCTTCCTGCCCTTGGCCTGGCACCTTTGCCTAGCAGGACAGAACCATTCACAGTGGACAGGGAGAAGCCTGCTCCTACTCCCTGCATGCTCACAATGCTTCTAGAGAAGCTGGGTCCATTTCTCAGCCCATCCCTAAGTAAACATCCTAGTGAGAAACTCTGAGATGATACCCAGCAGCCACAGAGGGAGGACCATCAGCCTGCTGAGATTGGGGATCCATCACTGATGGGTCAGGTGGTGTAGGAAGAGGAAAGGGGACAGAAGAATCCACAATTGTGCTTCTTTGGGGTACAGTATTTCCAGTGAAGGAATGACCAATAGAAACTACACTGAGCGGGGCTAGAAAGATGGCTCAGTGGTTAAGAGTACTGGTTGTTCTTGCAGAAGACCTGGGTTTGAATCCCAGCACCCACATGGCGGCCAACAACCATCCATAACTCCAGTTCCAGGAGATCTGACACCCTCTTCTGTCCTCCATGCGTACTGCATGACATGGGTGCACTTTCCACACATGTAGACATAACACTCATACATATAAAATAATTTTTTTTAAAAATGAGAGAGAAACTACATTGAGGAATTCATTCAACACTACAGCCAGTCAGCAATGTGTGGTTTTTAATCTAGTCTATTTGGGGGCTCACGTTCTATAAAGACACCATTTCCAAGGAATTCTTTTTCATAACCCAGCTGACCTCAAACTCACTATGTAGCCAAGGAAAGCCTTTAACTTCAGATTCTCCAGCCTCCACCTTCCATGCTCGGGTTACAGGCGTGTGATACTGAGGACCAAACCCAGGGCTTTGGGTATCCTAGGGCAAATACTCTACCAACTGAGCTACATACCCAGTCCTCACTTCCAGAGAGTTAAAAAAAAAAAAATTCTTAGCACTATGGACAGATTTACAATTTGAGGATGGAAGAGGCAGGGTGGGACATGAGATAAAATCTTGCTATGTAACCCAAGTTGGCTTGGAACTTTCAAACCTGCCCCAACCTCCCAAGTGTTGGGATTATAGGCACAAGCCACCATCATCCAGCTCACAAAGTCATGGTTAAAGGAGAAGAGATCATAGTGTCAGACCTCACGTTCCTCAAAGAGGCACCACAGTCACTTGACTGAGGACCCAGCACTAACCAGTTAATGTAGCAAGGGCTCCCAAATCTGCACTGGGAATTTATAGAAAGAATCCAAAGACGGAGGACTTTGTCTGTGCATGCTGCTCACAAAAGGCCTGTTCCAGAGTCCACTCCGAAGATAACACAAGGCTCATTGAGCATGCCAAGACTCACCTGAGAAAAGGAGCCACAGCTTTCCACGCAATGACTCAGGGATCCCCATGGCCACAAGCTTCCGGATCTTCTCTGTGCGAAACATACACACAGTCTTGCCGTACTCCACAAAGTGGTCATTCCACAGGCTGATTTTTATCTGCTCTCGGGACTAGAAACAGAAATGTTTGCTAATGTGCCCAGAAGCCACCATAGTGCACCCAAGATCCAAGATGGCACAAATAATGCCCCCCACCCATTTACCAGGGACCAACAGGGACAGGCAGCAACAACAGTATTCACACAGCAAACATGTTTGAGCCTCTGCTAGGCGCAAAGGATGCTAGAATGAATGACAGAGCTCCAGCCCTCCCAGAAGCCAAGTGGAAACAGCTATGCAAAAAACATCCAATTTTCCTGGCAAGATTGGTTAAGACAGACATGTCCTCCCCAGGACTAAAGCAGCACAAACTGGATCGGAGAGTGGGGCACAGTGGGGAATCTCAGGCAAAGTTTCTGTGGGATGTTGATATGGAGCCAACTGCTAAAACACAGGTCTGCTCCAAGGATAGTGGGAAGCAAGAGACATCATAATGGGCCCTGAGCTTCCTGACAGACAAAGGGAAAACTGAAACCTCAAAAAATTGTTCTCATCACTGGAAACAAGGAAGCCGCCTTTTCTCTAAGCAACTGAAAATCCATTAAAATGATTTCCACCTGGCAGGAATATTTAGGGCCTTTTATAAGATATTTACAATTACTCTTAATAATTACTGTCCAACAATGTAATATATTCATAAAGCCAACATTTTCATGCACTTAGTCAATAAGAATTCATTGATTACTGAGACAGTTGGATGTGGATTTTTAAAAGCCCACAGGTGATGGTGATTCAGGAGCCTTGGCGATGAGCAGTTGGCAACGAGGCTTGGAGTCACTACTTGGTCCTGTGGCTACAGGGCGGCTTCCCACCTGCATAAAGCTTAAAGCTCAATTTCTAGTCTGTTTGCCAACAATACATGACTCTGCCTCTTATTTTCCCTATAAAGAAAAAGAAACTATAAACGTAGCAAAAATAAGAGCTGGGAAAATGGCTCACTGAGTAAGAGCACTTCCTATGTAAGCATGAAGACACGAATTTGAATCCCCCACACCCACAGAAAAAGCCAGGAATCTCAAGTTTTGGGGCAGAGACAGGCAGATCCCAGGAGCTTGAGGGCCACCCAGATTAGCTCAAACAGCAAACTTCCAGTTCACTGAGAACCTTGTGTGAAAGGGCAAGGTGGGGGGTAAAGAGAAATCACCTAAGAGGAACATACAGATGCCCTGGCCAACAGAAGATTTGCATTGCACCTAGAAACCCACAAGGACAGCACCGCCAGCTGCACAGGCCACACAGCACAGAAGCACAAGAAAGTCACTATGGGGAGTGTGGAGAGTCCACCCCCCAGTGTCTTTTGCTTGGTGCCCAGGAGAAACAGAGGGAAGGAAAGGGACAGCTGCTGAAGCACTCCAGCCACCCAGGCCAAGCCACTCTGAGACAGACACGGGGAGCAGACAGCTAGGCAACCTCCTGTACCCAAGGCCAGAGGCATCTCACCCACCAGGTGGGAGTCAGGACTCTGGCTGCCTGACTGCTGGAAAACAGCAGTCAGGGGCTCAGGGTGTGGCAGTGGGCTCTTTTCCTTCTCTCCCTCTTCGCTGCTTTGAGAAGACACCATTTCAAGATCCCCAAACTTGTCACTGCACATGCTTGTTGAATAAAACATGGGTGACATCTGCAAGGCAAACAGACAGAGAAATATGCACAATTAGTATGTATCAGTTAAAAATAAAAATGTGAGGCTGGGAAGATAACCCAGTGGTTAAAGCACTTGCCACGCAAGCCGGGGGCCAGAGTTTGGATCCCTAGAATCCACGTAATTGCTGTGTGGATGCGTGTGGCAGCCCAGCTGTCATTTCAGCCTATGAAGGGGGAGGCCGGATCCCCAGAGCAAGACCAGCCATACTGGTGAGCTCCAGGTTTAACTGAGAGACCTCAATGAATAAGGTGGAAGAGCAATCAAGGATGGATCAAACACCAGCCTCAGACCTCCACATGCACATGGGCACACGTCACATGCAAACGGCATATACACATGCACATCACACACACACACACACACACACACAATTTAAAAATATACAAAAAGTGTTTCTTAAACTAAATCACAGCAGGGCAGGTGAGGTCCCAGTATACCTAGGGCCTTTCCTATAGCTATCCATCCACAAGGTGATAAAGCTTCTTCCTTAACAGGTTACAGCCGCCTTGACTAACATCCTTTGCAACCTTGGAAATGGGATACCTGCTTCAAGGTATGCACAAAGTGTGCCCTTCATGGGGATCCCCAATTGCCCCTCTAACCTGCAGAGGGAGGAGTCCCATTGACTCCTCCTACCCAGGCAGCATGTGGAGTACCCAGTGAACCCTCTATGCTACAGGTGGTCCCCACCAACCCTTCTAACCCAGGCAGTCCCCGACTCAGGACACAGAGCATCGGGAGTGATACCACACTGATGCATAACCATCGCCAGCACATCTTCCTGACACCCATGTGGACCATCTTTCCAGGTACTCCCCTTGGAGATGATGGCACCAAAGGTGACAAGAAAAGTCAGAGAAGGCCACCCCATGAAGGCTCCTACCATGTCATCATCGCTTGCTGAGGTGTCATAATGCACGGGGTGGTTGGCATGGACCTGCTTTAGCCTCACCAGCAGGCTCTCTACCAAGTTCTCTCTGTCCTTGAGTTCAATGAACTGGAAAGCCATCTTGCTGCGGATGCTGACAATGATGGGGTTAGGCAGCAAGCTTGTGTCCTCCATCTTCTCAATGCTCACTACCTGGGGCAGAGATGACACACAAAGTACAGCAAGGAAAGAGCCAGGCAGGTGTCTGATCAAATGCTCAGAAAGTATCCCAAGGTGCAAAGCAAAATCAAATCACTGCAGGAAAGACCCTGGGGAAACGGCTAGAGCATGTGCCAGGCAGTATTCATTACCCACAGTACCACAAGGTAGCAACAGCCCAGAGTTCCATCCAGACATGAGTGGCTAAGTAAACTGTCATGTACACAGATACTGGAGTATCAATCAGCCTTCAAAAGGAAACTCTGATACATGCTATAACATGGATGAAGCTTGAGAGTACTATGCTACCATGAATGTGATACTCACAAGAAGATAAATACTAGGGTTGGAGAGATGGCTCGGCAGTGAAGAGCACATCCTGCTCTTGCAGAGGAACTGAGTGCAGTACCTAGCACCCACATCAGGTGGCTCACAATCCCGTGACTCCAATGCCCTCTTCTGGCCTCTGCACTTATGTGCATATATTCAGACACACACACACACACACACACACACACACACACACACACATACACACACACACTTAAATGTTTTAAAAGATAAACACTGTATGATTCCATGTATTCAAGTCACCTGGAGGTAATCAAATTCAGATGGGAGGGGAGGGAGAGATGAGAGTGTTTAGGTGGGACAGTTTCAGGTTGGGAAGATGGAAAAGTCCTGGGGATGGTGGTGGTGATGGTGGAGTAACAAATATGTTCCCAGTCACTGAACTGCACACTTGAAAACTGAGAGGGCAATTGCACGTTATGCGTGTTATCAGAAAAAAATGAAGTACATGAAGACATCTTATTTTACTGTAAAATGAACACGTCTACTGCAGAATAATGATACAGGAACAAGAGACCACCTAGGAGAACTAAGCTTTCTAAAGAACAATGCTCAGGATAGATCAGCAGCAGCTAGACTCCAGAGGTCCCCACATGCAGAAGTCAAGGCTGTAAATGTAAAATCAGGTTGCCCCCCATTTCCACAAAGAGAATTATGCAACTTCATAGGAAAAAGGGACCTGACACATATTTAACTTAAAATTTTTTAGCAAAGTTTTAGGAGAAATTTTCCATTTATTCTCTGAGGGTGAACTTTTTATAGGTTGCTTTTATCCTTTTGGCGAGTGAAAGGGAAGAATTCATTCTTAAGTGTGGTAGGAAAAGCTTTAATTGCTAGGCACACACTTTTTAACGACAGCTTTATCAATAATGGAGGCTGGAATATGCTTCTCACCCATCACTTCTAAGCCATTTCAGGCTGCCAGAGCTACACCAGAAAGAGCAACAGCCACCTTGGTAACAGGCCAATTCAGGTGTTGCTCTCCTCAAAAGCCTGGTCATCCAGATGTCCCACCTTAGACAGCAAAGCTGTGGTGTTTGAGAACACATTCCCATGCCCTCCTGCAGCAGTGTCACCAGGCGCTCTGGTTTGGATATGGCTTGGCGTGTGCACAAAGGTTCAGTGGTCGGAAGCTCGGTACCCATGAGGCATTATTAAGAGGATGTGGAACCATTAAGCAGTGAAGCCTAGGCAGGGTGGTAACTGGGGTCATTCCCTCAGAAAGAATTAATGTAGCTCAGAGACAAGTCATTAAAAATTGCTGAAAAATTGCACATGAGTGCACTTACATACATGCAGGCAATATACTCATACACACAAAATGAATATAATTTTAAAAATCACCAAAAAAAAGACCAGCCTCTGCTCTTTGTCTCACCATGTGAGGTCTCCTGCCACTGTGCCACCATGCTCCTGAGCCTGAGAACTGTGAGTTAAACCTCTTATCTTTATAAGTTTGCCTGGTCTCAGTATTTAGTCTGAACAACATAAAATAGACTCAAATACATAGGTTCAAATGGCAAAGGCTGCTTCAGGAAGTGCAGAGTAGGGCAGCAGAGGTGACGGGTGGGGTCTACCTCTCTGAGTGGAAGCACAACGTTACAACAGCCATCCTCTCTGCTGGCAAAGCAAATGTAGCTGTCAGAGGTAAACATCCGCCCTGCGGTGTGACAGCGACTGAAGGGCGTCCAGAGGGAGCAGTCCATCACTGCATGGAGTTTCTCCTTCCTGGGCAGTCTGAAGAAAGCCCGGAAGAACTCATTCTGTGCTCTGGCCTCAAGGTCCCTGGGGAACAACAGAGAGAGCATGAGATAAGAGAGTGGACATACAAGCTCATGAAGGAAAATACCTCCAAACCCACTGGTGCAACCACATAGTCCAGGGCATATAAAGAGCTGCTGTCCATCCTCAGAGTCTGTGTCAGCTAGGCTCCAAGTTCACAGTTAACCCTCAACAAATACTACGAGCAGAGTATATTTCTCTACAAGAGTTTCTGCATAAAAAGAATTGATGAACTCATGAATCAAAATAAGCATCCCTTCAGCATCTGAGTAACACTAGGAATGACCACAAAGATGGTGTAAGAAGCCAAGTATCAAAAAGTAGGATTATGTAAGTGCTGGAAAGTCAGATTACAGTAAGTGTTGGCAAGAATAAGGGGAATCTGAACCTTCATACTCTGCAGGTGGGAGTGTAAAATGATGTGTTAATGTTGGAAAACAGTCTCACGGGTTAAAAGGAGAATCACCATGTACCCAGAAATTCCATTCCTGGGTATACAAACAGAACTGAAAACTTACGCCCACTAATAAGTTGTACACAAATGTTAACGATATTATTCATGATAACCAAAACACAATGGTATTCATGATAACCAAAACGTGGAAATGACTAAAACATCATGAATGGCTAAATAAAATGTGCAACATTCCTTTAAGAGGATAGGTATCACTGTACCACTAAAACAGGAGACACATGCCACAAAGTGGATGGAGCCTTACATATGCAGAGAGAGGCTAGACACAAAGTCTACTGGCTGATTCCACTCACGTCATGTCTAGAACACAAGTGCAGAGACAGGAAACAGATCAGTGGCCACCCAGAGGCTGGGGAGCAGGAGAAATGAGGAGTGCCACTCCTGAGATGCAGTTTCTCTGTGAGGTGTTAAGAGGTACAAAGCTGCCTGTGGTTGGCCGCACAGTTCATGAATTTAAACAGCACCCTTTAAAAGCATGGAAAACATGAAAGGCTCCTGCGCTTCTAGAGTACATAAGCTGCAGGGACAGAAGGGGAGGTCCCAAGATGCCCCAACTTTTCCCAGAGTTTTGTGCAGTGCATTTAAATTTCAATAGAAAACAACAACAACAAAAATGCTGATCTCCTACAAGAGAAAGCCCAGTGGTATTTACAAGAGGTCTAGGAGAACCTGACAGGGAAGGAAGAGGTTGATCCATGGTTACTAAGTGACTGTTAGAGAGAACAAGAGAGTTCACACGTGCAGCTGCACAGTAGGGGAACTGTAAACCATCATGAGCCACACGTCTGAAAACCAGAAGAAAGGATTTTAAGTATTTGCACTACAAAGAAATGATGTTTTAATTTTTATTTTATTTTTAATCGTCTTTGAGAATTTCTTTTTAAAAATATTTTATTATTTTTATTTTATTTGTAGGAATGTATTGCCTGCATGTATGTGAGTGCACCCATGTTGTGCAATGCCACAGAGGTCAGAAGAGGACTTCTGATTCCCCTGGAACTGGAGTTAAGGACGGTTCGTAGCCGCCATGTGGGTGCTGGGAATCGAACCTGGGTCCTCTGCAAGAGTAGTCAGTGCCCTTAACCGCTGAGCCATCTCTCCAGCCCCTAGTCTTTGAGAATTTCATAGACTCATAGAATATAATTTGAGCATACCTCCTACTCCTCCCCTAACTCCTCCCAGATATGCTTCAATCCCTCCCCCAACATTGTGTCCTCTTTTTAAATTTTACTTATTTTTAACTTTTATTTTTATGAGTATGAGTGTTTTGCCCGCATGTAAGTGTACCATGTGCATGCAATGCCCGTGGAGACCAGAAGAGAGTGTCAGATCCCCTAGAACTGGAGAGACAGATGGGTGCTGGGATCTGAACCCAGGTCCTCTGGAAGAACAGCCAGTGCTCTTAACTGCTGAGCATCTCTCCAGCCCAGTCCTCCTTTACTGAAATTTATAATCCACTGATTCCAATTAATACTGCCCATATATGCACGGGTGTGGGGCCAACCAATGAAGCATGATAAACCAACTATGGTAGTTTGAATGAGAAAGTTCCCCAAGGGTTCAAGTATTTGGACATTTTGTCCCCAGGTGCTAGAGCTATTTTGGGAGGTTTTAGAAGGTGTGGCCTTACTGGAGGAAGCACATCACTGGGGGTAGGCTTAGGGAGTTCTTAAGTCTTGCCGGATTTAGCAACCTATGGCTTCTAGAGAAGCATTATCTCTTGGGTAGGGTTAAGTTCAATTAAACTCTTTTATATGGGAAAATGATAAATGTTTCAAGAGATATAATATTTGATCTTATTTAAGGGGAGAGATGGCTCAGCGACTGAGAGCACTGGCTGCTCTTGCAGAGGACCTGGGTTTGGTTCCCAGCAGTCACAGGATGGGTAACAACTGTCCTAACTCCAGGGGATCTGATGTTCTCTTCTGACATGACCTCCATGGACATTGCATGATGTGGGTGCACTTACATACATGTAGGCAACACACTCATATATAAAAAATAATTTTCTTTTTTAAAAATTTGACCTTATTTAAGCATCATACAATATCCACAAATATCCACAGGTAAAAGTGCTTGCCAGATACGCCTGATGATCTAAGTTTCATATCCAGAACCCACAGGGGAAGGAGAGAACCAACTCTTCAAAGGTGACCTCTAATCTCCATACATGCACCATGGCACATCTACCTGCATTCACATGTGTGCACACATACATAAAATAAAAAATGTTTTTAAAAAAAGCACATGGGGACTGAAGAGATGGCTCAGCATTTAAGAACACTGAAGGTTCTTGCAGAAGACCTGGGTTCAAATCCCAGCACCCACATGGCAGCTAACAACTGTCTATAACTCCAGTTCCAGGGGATCTGAGAGCCTCTTCTGTCCTCTGTGGGCACTGCATGACGTGGGTGCACTTACCTAATGCAGGCAATACACACATACACATAAAATAATAATAAATAAAATGTTAAAAACAAAAAAGAGAAAGCACATGGTACCCCACTACAGGTTCTATAGTAAGATGTCTTAAAGTTAAAATAAACTTAAATAAAAACAATAAATGCAGTAAAATAACTGGACCTCAACCCCACAGCATGCTGGCCACAGTGGCTTCTCTGAAAGTCCATGTTTCCTCCCTGTGCGGTTCTTACATACATGGTTCTGGAACCTGTGAAGTCACTTGTGCCTCCCTGGACTATCTCCCCTTCCACAGAGCATGGTCAAAACCACATGGAAGACATGATCAGGAGCACAAAAACAACAGCTCACACTGAGCTACAGGAAGGACAGAAGGACTTAGATTCACTTTGCAACCAAGCACTCAGGAGTAAAGTGCTGAGTATCTGAGACAGACTACAGCAGTGATCTTTCTTTAAAAAAAAAAAAAAAACTTTTAATAAATTTATTTATTTGGGGAGGAGGCACTCATTCTACTGTGCATGTGTGGAGCTCAGAAGACAACTTGCAGGTGTCAGTTTTCTCCTACCATGTGGGTCCCAGTGATCAAACTCAGGTCGTCAAGATTGGTGATTCAGTGGAAAAGGTGCTTGCCACCATACCTGACAATCTGATCCATTTCAACAGCCCTAGGGCAACAACTGTTTCTATCCAGTGCACCTGCTGCCTGTCAAGCGCTCAATTCCACCAGCTTCTTTGGCTTCTGAGCTTTGAATGTACTGCAGTCTCCTTTCTGCAAACATCTGGTAGCCAGAAACCAGAATCCAGAGGAAAAAAAGAAAAAGAAAGAGAAAGAAAAAGAAAGCAGCCAGAAGTTCTTTTAAGATCTGAGTTCTCGTCCTTCCTCCCTACTAGAAAAGTGATCTTCTAATTTTGCCCTAAATGTGTGGGATTTACATTACTTCCTGCAGTACAGCTGAGGTGAAGGCAAGGACCTGTGTGGGAGAAGCCAGCTCCTTAGGGAGATCTGGTAAGCCCACCCCGTCAGGTTGTCTCAAGGTAGGTGGTAGTATGGGTGCTAAATATGCCAACTCCTTTTTTTGAAGAGTGTCAAACACTGCCCACTAGCTGCAACTTCCTTCCAGATTGAAGGTTTGGGTTTGGGGTTTAAGGGGGACAATGAGGAGGGTAGCCCTTTTCAGTAACAGAATTATTTATTTTAATTGTTTTTTGAGACAGGGTCTTACTATGTAGCCCTGGTCAGTCTGGAACTGCTAGATAGACCAGGCTGGCTTAGAGCTCACAGATACTTGCCTGCCTTTGCCTTCCCAGTAGTAGGATTAAAGGTTTATACCACCATACCTGACTTCTTGAATTATTTATTTATTATTTAATATGCAGTGGAAATATTCAGTGGAAAAGGTATATTTTGGCTGCATGTATGCAAGCGGACCACATGTGTGGAATTCCTGCAGAGGCTGGAAGAGGGCATTTGATCCCCTCCAACTGGAGTTATGGATGGTTGTTAGCTACTATATGGATGCTGGGAATGGAAGCTGGTCCTCTGTAAGAGCAGTCAGTGCTCTTAACAGCTAAGCCATCTCTCCAGTCACACAGTAAGATATTTATTAAAGGAGTTATGCAGCAGAGTGGCAGGGACTCTGAGGAGAGTTCAGGCCCACATGGCACAGTGAGGGTCTCATACACTTTAAAGGAAGGGGAAGGTTCTATGCTATGTGATGGACAGGTAGCCCATAATACACTTGTAGTTAGGCTATCTCTGATTCCTGACTCGGGGTTTGGGGTGGGGGCTGTTAGGCTGCCGCCCTTATGTAGAATCATCTATGAGGGTGGGGAGAAAAGAATCTAGAAAAACAAGTTCATGGAAGACCTTTATAAAATGACATGGCTCTGGCTTCCAATACTTCCATAGAAAGACCAACAGATGACAGTGCTGAGCGAACACCTGGGATGTCTGTAGCCTCAGAAGCAGCAGTCATGAGGATGAACACTGCCACAGTGAGGCTTAATGCAATATGTGCCATCATGCATAATTAGTAGAAAGTTCTAGATCTATATGACAAGTACATCTTTTCAAAACTCAGGTTTCATTCCCAAAACTTCAGGAACTTAGAAACTCAAGAGATCTGTTCTAGTTTGCCTTCAATTACCATGACTAAACACTGACCAGTACCAACTTGGGAGGAAAGTGTTTACTTCGCTTATATCTCCTGGGTCTCAGTTCATCTCTGAGGGAGCCCAAGGTAGGAACTCAGGGCAAGAACTTGAGCACAGGCCATAGAGGAACGCTGCTCACTGGCCTGCTCCCCTGGCCCCTACTCAACCTACTTTCTTTTTATTTTTCTTTTTTTCTTTTTTTTTCAAACTACTTTCTTATATAATACAGGACCACTCCCCTAGGGGTGGCATCACCCACAGTGGGCTGGGCCCTCCCACATCACTCAACAATCAAAAAAATGTCCCACAGACATGGCCACTGGAGGCAATTTCCCACCTGAGGCTCCCTCAACCCAGGTGTGTCAAGCTGACAACTAAAGCTGTCCAGCACAAGATCCAAGAAACTTAGAGGTGAAGAACTCATTACTTTCTCCACAAATCCAGAATCGATTAATACAGGTTAGATTTGTCCCTCCTATATTAGACAAATATGTTAAAACCAGGTTTCTTTCTCTCCCATCAACGTTCTGGAAGGCTTTAAGGAAGAACTCCATCTGGCCCGTGCAGGTCAACTCTATTCCCTCTGGTCATTCAGGTCATACAGGATGTGTCTATATCAGCTTCGAAGCCAAAGGCTGCACCACACTCAAACCACCGGACAGGCTAGAGCAGGCTGGCTTCTCCATTAGTTCAGCATTCAAGGTCTCCACCATGTCCAATACAGGACACCTGGTGGTGGGTTCTGCCCTTCTGGGTTAAGGGAAGACCAAGTGGGTCGTCTGTGGTAAACTTGCCTCCTAAGAAGGTACACAGAGGCTTCTCTCAGTGGCTGTGCTTTATGCAGCCACTCAAGGCCCAGGCCAATGGGTTTTTGGGAAATCCCAAGAATTAGCACCATACAAACAAGGCTGAGAAACGGCAAATGCTTGTGCTTTTTTCAGTGCTATACTCCACACATAAAACTTCTCAACTGCGTGTTCACTCAGAATGGAACCGGTGTTGTTACAATGACAGCCTGAAGGCCAATAAGCCGAGCTTGGTCACCCATCCCAACATCCCAATTAAAGAAAAAAGTAACGGTGGAAAGCAGAGGAGATTATTCAATAAGGCCACACTGGGAAGAGAAACAGATAAAGGGGTCCAGTGACCCCAAGTCCACCTTCAAGATACTGGCATGAGGTTTAGGTTTAAATAGAGGGAGAATTGAAGTAGGGGGCAGGAGGTAAGTGTAATTAACAGTCCTGGTCTGGGTGTGATCTCGCTGTTCTAGTCCTGCAGGTGGCTTGAAGAAGTTCTTATTGTTGGAGAGGACAAGCTGGTTCTCAGGAGACAATTACCTCCACCAGGGTGCAGCCTTGGTCTCATGGATAACTGTCTTCATCTTGAGGTGGGAGAGATAGATAAAAAACCAAAGGCACAGATGTCAGGCTTTCACCGTGCTTTCAGTTACCCCACAGGTCCAAATGAGAGGTCAATGCATTTTAGCAAAAGGAGGTTCTAAGTACCTATTCAAAATATATCTTCCTCTGTGACCAGGGGACCCCTAAGGAAATAATGAAATGATGCTGGAAGGCAGCAGCTTGTATACAACACCCAGGACCACTCACAGGACAAGACAGGAGGCTCACTCAGCCCTCTGACAAGTGACTGTGTGAAGATGGTTCAGCAGGCACCTGCAGCCATAATTCCTTTGGAAATTGTCCACACTGACCCCAAAGAGAGGAGGACCTGATAATAAGGGCACCTAGAGACCTTCACTCCCATGCTTTGTGCTCTTCTCATCATCCTGTTCCAGAGACACCATGGCAGCCTGGGTTCTGTGAGGTCGGGAAGAGTGAGGTGTGGGCCTTTCCTGGAGGGGTGCCTCTCCCACACTGCAGTAAGTGCCAAAGAACAGCAGGAAAAAAGTGGTTCAGAGAGGGAAAAGGTCAAAGAGATCAGCAGAGACTGCAAAAGGGAGGCAGGAGCTGACCACTGAGGCCGCATACCCTAGAAGCCACTGGGAGGAAAAGCTTGAGTGGAGGGAAGTAGTTTCCATTTACAACATGACCTTGTATTTTCCCAGCATGTTCAGTCAGTCAGAGATTTAAAGTCTCCTCTCCAACCACCCCTGCCCCATCTTCTACACAAAATAACTGGATAGCTGTCCATAACCGACCTAACTTTAGGATAAATACCTTTTGTTGGTATTTCAGCATCAGTTTATTCCTGACCTCCTCCTCCCGTCTCAGCAGCACCTCAAGTCCTGTCACTGCCTTCTGAGCTCTAGGATGATACACTGAAGAATCCCTGGTCCAGGTCCCCCCTGTACCAGGATGGACTCGAAGACTCCCAAGCCTAGCCAGCTCTCTCCTCTCCATCATAACAAAGCATCATGAGGCTCACTTTCATAGAGACTACCCAGTCATCATCCATAATGGATGTGAACACAGGACTAAGACATCTAATGGGTAATTAGACACTCAATAATCTAGTCCTTGATCCCATGGTCACCATTGGAAAGCTGTTAACTGGGAAGGGAAGTGAAAACGGATCAAGGAAAGAGCTGGAGGGGTATTCCAGCTTGTCTGGCTCTGAGCTGAAACTGTTTTCCTAAACTTTAAAATCTGCCCCTTTTGGCAGGGTGCCAAGCAGACTGAGTCATTACCTGTTTATACACCCACAGGCCTGGTCTCCATGACAAAAGTTGCTGGTGGGAACTACCCCAGGGGCAGGCCATGTGGGCCTTCCACTGTGGGAGGAAGTCCCAAACCATGTGTTGACAGCCGGTGGGGACCAGAATCTAGTCTGTGTGTTATAACTAACCCTAGACACCTGTAGGTTCTTGGATGCTCAACCACTGGCTATCCTAGGGGTCCTTTCTGCCCTTTTCTCTTCTCTCTAGTAGTTTTTAGGGTGAAATGTAGGGTGGGAATAGGAGGAGGACTTGGAAAATTTCCCTGACATGGATGAACATTGCCAACATTAATGAGATTTCTTCTAAAGAGATGGTCTGACTAGAATAGAAGGGACTGGGTACTATAACCTTTGATCTTCTTTTCTCACTTCCCCACACACACTAAGCACAGCCACATGAAGCACAGCCAAGGCTGGGTGTCTCTGTTTCTTCTGTTGCTGAGATGAAATACTCTGATGGAGGGGTTTATTCTGGCTCACAGATCAAGGGTACAGTCCATCATGGCAGGAAAGTCTAGGCAGCTGGTCACATCGTACCCACAATCAGAGACAGAGAACACTGGATGCATGCTGCTCCTCCCCTCCCTTTCTCCACTTACACAGTCCAGGATCCCAGCCACAGAATGGTGCCACCCAGTGGGTGCTTCTCCCACCTCAAGTAACCAAATCAAACCACAGGCATACTCAGAGACCCATCTCCCAGGTGATTTTAGATTCTGTCCAGTTGACAGCACTGACCATCACACCAGGACATCACCTGAAGCCCATGAGGCTGACCAGCACACACAGCACACCAGAGGCTGGCTGTTAGCTGGCCTCTCTTGCCCAAGACCATGTGGCTGCAATTCACATGGTTGCAGGTGCATACACACATGCAAGCAGTCCCACAATATGGCTGAACCTTGAGAACATTAGCTTAGTGAAACAAGCTGACTGCAAAAACACAAATGCTATAGGATTCCATTTATATAAGGTGCCTGCTCAACTTTCTATAAAAAGGTGGTTGCCAGGAGTTAGTGATCAGCAGGGCAGGAATTTCAGTTATGGGGCTGGAGATATAGTTCAGTGGCAGAGACATGCCTAACATGCACAAGGTCCTCGGTTTGATGCCCAGAACTATAAAAAAAAAAAAAGTGAAATGTCTTAATGTTCACTAATGAAACACTTAATTTCTACCATAAGGGTGTCCACATCCATATCCTGACACATCTTAAAGGGGACCTAGATCCTGAAATCCAAGTCTACCACATAAAAGAAATGAGTAATAATCATTTCTAATTATATCTGGCAAAATTAACCACAGTGATGGGGCCCACCAGATGGCTGAGTGGGTAAAGGCACTTGCCACCAAGCCAGACAATCTGAGTTCAATCCCCAGGCCCCACATTGTAGGAGAGAACTGACTGTCACAAGCTGCCCTCCGACATCCACAGTCACTCTGTAGCATGCATGTGTGCACACAATACACATACACATACGCATACAAAATTTAAAAAGCAGCAAAAAACAAAAGACTAATCAAAGAGGAAACTCTGAATGATACCCAGCAGGGAAATGCACATCTAGTACATGGGCCGTCAATGTTCACAGGCTCTGTATCTTTGGACTCAACCAACCATTAGTCAAATACTCAGAAAATCCTATCTGTACCAAATGTATACATTTTTCGGTGTACAGTGCAGTATAACAACTACTGATAACACATCTACACTGTGTTAGCTACCACTGGTCATCTAGAGATGCTTTAAAGTACCTGTGCATTTGCACAGGCCATATGCAAACAATTCAGTATTTTACTTAAGGGACTTGCACATCCATGGGTTTGATATCTGAAAAGATCCTGGAATCAATATCCTAGGCAGATGGAGGGATGACCACACACTTAACACTGTCAGAAACATATGTACATAAGGGCTTCAGGGCAAAGTATGGATCCCCTATGTGGCCGGGGGACACCTCGGAGCTGAAGCCCTACCTCTTGGTGATCTGGCTAGGCTCCTGCAGGTCGGGGTCCAGGTCAAAGACTTCATTATCCAGCAGCCTCCGGAGAGTCACATCTGCCAGCTGCTCCATTATCTTAAACACCTCATCCAGGTTCAGAAACATAGAGAAGTCACGCTCCTTATTCTGTGTAGTGATCCGGATGGTATCCGTGAGAAGGGCATTGGATGTTCTTTCCAATTTCTGGATATCAACCCAAGGGATCACAAGTTTAACTATAAGAGAAAAGGGCAAGTATGTATTGTATCTTAAAACGTGAGCCAAATGAGTTCATCCAAAGCTCTCCTTTAGCAAAAACACAGTGTTAAACCCTGTTAAGTAAGGGCAGAGAGACAAGCATAAGACTGTAGACCCAAGACTGCAGTGGCTGCTGGCAAAGGCACAGCCACATTCCAGGGGTTTCTCCCAAATTCGTGTGAAACTTCCCAAGTTGCTGGCTACTGCACACATCCAGGTACTGCACATACATCCAGGGAATGTCATTCTGGAATACCAAGTTGACTATGCACAAACTTTCCCATGAATACTTGAACTGCCATGCAATCATCATTGTCAGAAGATAATTCATTTCCTCTTTGAATCATGTATGGAACAACTATATCCAGCATTTCTACCCATTTACTTTGCAAAACTATTTCCAGTGCTTTGATTATTCAGTCCATTTCTGTCAGCCTTGAAAGGAAGCTTCTTTAGGCTACTATATTTTCATGGAAAGTGTTTTTACACACACGCACACATACACACACACACACACACACACACACACACACACACTACTCTCTACTTAGTTCATTTATACCACCAACTTCAGCTTACTAAGCAGCTACTCTGAGAAGAGCCCTATACAATGGTTTGGGTAAGAAATGTACCCCAAAAGTCTCATGTTTGGGGGACTTGGTCCCAAGTTACTTTTGAGAGGTTCTAGGACCCTTAGGAGGGGGGGGCAGATGGAAGCAGATCACAGGGGAGGATCCTTGAGAGTACCCCCAGCTCTGGTCCTTCCCTGCCTCTGTCTCTCTGCTTTTCGTCCAGTGAGATGAGGAAGTTCCTCCACACACACACCCACTACCTCGATGTACTACTTAAGTGCATAGGGCCAAGTGACAGTATACTAAAACCTCTGAAACTGAGTCAAATATATTCTCCCTTCTGTTTTTGCTAGGTATTTTGGTCACAGCAATGAAAATTAATTAATATACCCTAAGGTGAAGACGATCATTCAAACAGGAAAGACCTATAAACAAATAAGCAATTAGCCTTTAGGGAACCCCACAGAACACACAAATATGGTACAAATTATATATAGGGAAGACTTCCTAGAGATGACAAAATCTATATTGGGATTTGAAGAATGAATAGGCGTTTACGAACACAGTAAACATGAAGAAAGGAAGGTTGCTCAATTTGAAAAGAATTTCAGGATAACAAGAGTTCCATGGTTAGGCCAAGGCACATTCCTTGGGTGGGGAAGGTGTGATGCTTGTTTTAATGACAGTTTGCCACAAATTAGAATCATCTGAGTAGGGAGCCTCAATTAAAGAAATGTCATAATTGCCCTAACTGATGTAGGAAAACCCACTCCAAGGGTGGGCAGCACCTCTGGTAGCAGCCCCGATAAAAGGGGCCATGGTTAAGGAAGATTATTTGCCTTTTGCTTGTTTGGACTTCCCTCTGCTGCTGAGTTGATTTGTCCTGCTGCTGGTGGTGATGATGATGATTCCTTTGCCTATATCAGAACCAGCATTTCCAGGCTTCCATCACTGACTGAGGACCAGCAGCTCACCAGGAACCTTCCAGGTTTTCAGCACTAGATTGGGACTGTTGAGGTACCCAGCCCAGTAGACTGAGCAACTACCAGGTTCTTAGCCTCTCCAGTATGAGAAAGTCACTGTGGGACTACTCCCAACTGCTGAGGCACCCACCCACCTTCAGTACCAAGCAACTACTGGGTTCTGAGTCCCTCAAGTATGAGTCAGCTGTTGTTACTCTTTCTAAGTAAGCTGATTTAATAAATTTATACACACACACACATAAATATTCCTCTCGGTTCTGTTTCTCTAAAGAAATCCTGACTAATACAGTATGCAAACAGGGTATGTCCTGGAGGGAGGAGGCTCTGAGGCAGAGAAAGAATACACCATGAGCAGTAAGCTGCCACAGCAGACACTCAAGGAGCCCCCTTTGAGCTCGTTTCATTTGAAATATAAATGCAGAAGGAAAGAAAAATATAAAAGTATTAGTTACTTTTCCTGTTACTCTGTTAAAATTCCTGCCAAAGGCAATTTTTAAAAGAAAGGGTTGGGGCTGGAGAGATGGCTCAGTGGTTAAGAACACTGACTGTTCTTGCAGAAGACCCGGGTTCGAATCCCAGCACCCACATGGCAGCTAACAACTGTCCATAACTCCAGTCTTGGGGATCCGACAGCCTCCTCTGTCCTCTGTGGGCACTGCATGACATGGGTGCAATTGTGGCAGGCAATACATGCATATACATAATACAAAAATAATAAATAATTTTTTTTAAAGTTTAAAAAAAAGAAAGGGTTTATCTTGGCCTTCAGTCCAGGGTATAGCCATCATCGCAGGGAGGTTATGGCAGCAGGAGTGTGAGGCAGCTGGCCAAATGCATCCCCATCCAGGAAACAGAGAGGAATGCTGGTGCTAACTTGCTTTCTCTGTTTTATGCAGTCCAGGACCCAAGTCCAGGAAATGATGTTGCCCACTTTAGGGTGGGTCTTCCCACCTCAATTAACCTAACAAAGAAAATCTCTCACAAGTACAAACGTGTGGCATCCATGCTACCCAGCATGGACATTTCAGATGGTAGGTGATTCTGGAGGCAGTTTCGATGTAAATGGCTTTTTAAACATTTATTATACAATTGACACTGTGATTTTTCTTTTCCTCCTTAGAATACCATCACCAAGGCCAATGTCTAGGCAAACCTGAATCTCAAGTGGACCCAGGTAAAGAATTCCCTTTCCAGAAGTAATGGTGCACCCAGCAATATGACCTTTGGTACTGGGTACTTAAAAGATAGAGCTCATTTGTAGAATGCTTGCCCAGCATGTGCAAGGCCCTAGGTTCAACCCTCATAATCCTCCCCCGACTCAAAACCATTATATAGCAAAAATATATTCTACTCTTTTAGAAACACTCAGCTATTAGTTAAGATACAGCATTTCCTTTTTTAAAAAAAAATTAAGATTTTTATTTTTTTAATATTTTATTTATTATTTGTATTTTATGCGTATGAGTGTTATGCCTACATGTAAATAAGTGCACCCGTATTGTGCAATGCCCACAGAGGAAAGAAGAGGCTGTCGGATCCCGTGGAACTGGAGTTACGGACAGTTGTTAGCTGCTATGTGGGTGCTGGGATTCGAACCCAGGTCTTCTGCAAGAACAGTCAGTGTTCTTAACCGCTGAGCCATCTTTATTTATGTGTGTGTCTGTGTATATCTATGTAAGTGCATACCACATGTGTGAGGGTATCCATGGAGACCAAAAGAAGGCATCAGACCCCTAGAGCTGGAATTATAGGCAGTTGTCAGTCACCCAATGTGGCGTTGGGAACTGAACTCAGGACCTCTGGAAGAGCAGGAAGTGCTCTTAACTATTGAGCCATCTCTCCAGTCCCAAGATACTGCATTTTCAAAGCATCTACATCAGTAAAAACTCTTTAATAGCTATTTGAAGAGTTATACAGAAATGTTTCTTAAAAGAGTAAAAAGAGCAAGTCTTCTCAAATCAAGCTCTGATATAAGTAGCCTATATAACTAAGCATAGTTATCTGCACAAATCATTTGCTAATGAATCAAGTATGACCTGCTGTACCCTCAACCATTTCTTTAAGTCTTCTATTGTGAAAATATTTCCATTATTGGCTTCTCCGAGAAGCCAAGCTAAGCATCCCCAACTCTGACTGCTTCTGTGAGGGACCAAATTGCTCTGGCCCCTGGCTTGGCCACACTTACGTTCCTTGCCCAGGAAGAAGGAGTAGAAGCAGAGGTGGTTAATGCTGAGGTAGAGCCAGCCCTGGCGGGGCACCCGGCCCTTCCAGCAGCAGCAAGAGTAGTAGGTGACCAGCTTCTCTGCCTCAGGGAAGTTGAACCTGGCCTCGAACTTCACCAGGGCTTCTCGGAACTTCTCAGGTTCCTCCTCCTGCTCTGCCAACCTGCTGCTGGTCTCCTCAGCGATCAGAGCCTAGAGCACAGAATGATGGTTCTTATTTAGTGAGTCAGGCAAAAGGAAGACAAACGGGTAGGGGAAAGGAAGCACGAAGGACAGGCGGGCAGTGGCACCTAAGGAACCTTACTGCTGCCACAATACCCAGTCTCTCACTCAGTTACTCATTGGCCATGAGACTTTGGTTGAGTCACTTGACCAATGCTAGACTTATTTTCCAAATCATCCTATCAAAACAGGGAGTTCCAGATTCAGTGAGAGTTCCTTTAACAGAATTAAGGTGGAGGGGCTGGCAAGGTGGATCAGGGGGCAAAGGCATCTGCCACCAAATCTGACAACCTGAGTTCGATACTGAGGATATCTACACAGTGGAGGAAAGAACTGACTCCCATAAGTAGTCCTCTAACCTCCACACATGAACTATTGCATACATGCAACACATACACACACACACACACACACACACACACATACACACACACACACGATCAAGAAATAAGTGTAATTTTTAAAAATATTTTATTATTTTTATTTTATGTGACGAGTGTATTGCCTACATGTATGTGAATGCACCCGTGTCGTGCAATGCCGTGGAGGTCTGAAGAGAGCATCGGATTCCCCTGGAACTGGAGTTAAGGACAGTTCATAGCCACCATGTAGGTGCTGGGAATCAAACCCGGGTCCTCTGCAAGAGCAATCAGTGCTCTTAACCGCTGAACTATCTCTCCAGCCCCAAATAAGTGTACTCTCACATAGGAGAGTACTCCCACATATACAGGTGTATACCACAAGGTGAGCACCCCCAAATATACAAGTGTATACTACACAGGCAAGTGCCCCCCACACACAATCTGAAAGCTGATGAATTGAGTGGTTTCAATTTCTTCATTATGCTTTTCTTTTTCAAATCTCGTTTAACATTATGAACTATAAGTAATAATTAAGGATTTTTAATACATTTTATATAAAAATAAACATTCAGTTCTCATCTTGCTCTGGAAGTAGAGCATGCTGGGGTTTTTATGATGGTCCCAGAGCCAGAACACAACAGCTCAGAACAGGCTCTGGTGGCTTCATGCACAGACACAATGGTGGCCACATAGCCACTGACTCTCACACACCACAGGGTGCTCTTACAGGTACAGCTGGAAGCAGAGGGATTTCTAGTGATAGAGTGGCCAAATTTCCAGAGCAGGAGAGCAAAGATCCTTCAGGTTTGGTCAGCAGGAAGGGGAGGCAAATGCCAGCTTGTTCTCGGATCCCTCCTCCCTGGCCCTGACATCTGGGGACTAAGGATGTGTTTGTTTTGGTTTTTGTTTTGTTTTGTGTTGTTGTTGTTTTGAGACAGTGTCTCATGTATTCTAGGCAGGCCTCTAACATACTATATAAGCCCAGGCTGGCCTCTAGCTTGAGGTCCTCCTGTCTCAGCCTCTCCAGTGTTGGGATTACAAGTATGTGCCACTTTATCTGGGAAAGGAACTTGTTTTCTAAGGCATTTTAGCTTTATTGAAGATATAAATTTGTCACTCCAAAATATGCTGCTATGGCACAGGGGTTATTTTGAGCTAAAAACAACTGAAAAACAATAGACACCAAGAAGACTCTCTCGTCCCCATCTACCTAAAGTCTGGACACAATCTCCGTTTGTATACAGCTTCCCTGATCCAGGCAGAGGATTTGACTCTTAATCAACAGAGACCCCTCTAGATACTCCCCAGCCTGGAGAGAGCAATACAAGGAGCCTACAAAAACTCTTTAGCAAAATACCCCTTCCCTCCCACCAGCACCCCACGGCTTGCTGCCCCAAAGCCTACGGCCCTTTTCCTCTGTCACCACTCCTCTGCAAATTTACCTTTTGTTCTCAAAGTGCTACATCCAGGTAAGTGCTAACCACTTTTTAAAGTTACTCATGGCTAAGTTTCTGCCATATGTATGAACCATGTGTGTATTAAAATAAACTGTTCTTCCCCCTCCTTTTAATTGTCCTTTTGCCAGGTTACTTTCCTGGGCCCCAGTCACAGAACCCAGGACGACAGAAGCTCTCTTTCCTACAGAAACATTTCTGAAACCAAGGAAACAAAATGCATTTCCTAGGGCTGGGAATACAGCTCAGTGGTACAGCACTCATGTGTGTGAGGCCCTGGGTTCAATCCCCAGTATGGCTGGGGAGGGAGATGGACATGAAATGAATTTCCTTCCTGCTAAATGAGAGAAATAGCTAAGTCAAAGAAACCACTATAATCACATTAGACCAAGAAAGGTGGGTCTGGAACTCAAGAAGTAGAGACAAGATTGTGATTTTGAGGACAGTTAGAGACAGGGTCTTACTATGTAGCTCTGGCCAGCCTGGAACTCTTTATATAGACCAGGCTGGCCTCAAACTCAAAGAGCCATCTGCCTCTGCCTCCTGAGTCCTGAGATTAAGAGCACATACCACCATGCCTTCTGGCCTCTGCTTTTCACTTGATCCCACAAGTAAACTCAGTCTCTAAGAAAAAGAGCACTCCTATTTTGCTTTTTCAATGTGCTTATGTGCTTGATTTGGGACAGGGTCTTACTATGTAGCCTAGAATGGCCTTGAACTCCTCTGCCTCCCAAGAGGCAAGAGACTTACATCCTGTTCTTTTAAAATAAAAAGATTCCCTCTGACTCTCTTTACTAAAAGGTGCAACACTTGAGGTATCAGAAAGTCTTGCTTTTTAAAGAAAACAAGTAAGAATCTGGAGAGATGGCTCAGCACTTACGAGTGCTTCTTGCTCTTCCATAGGACTTGAGTTCAATTCCCAGTACCCATATCAGGTGGCTCACAAGCACATGTACTCCAGCTCCAAAGTGTTCAACATTGCTGATCTCTGGGAGCACCTGCACTCACTTGTATATATCCACATGCAAACAAGCATAATTAATAAAAAAATACATCTATAAAAGTAAACAAACAAAATAGATCTGGGTTGTTTTACTCTAAGAGAAGAAAACTGTATGGCAGACTAACAAAGACAAGTTTAATGAGAGAGTAAAACGAGGAGGGACAAGCCATTTCTTCCTGTCCAGAGGCTTCCCAAGCACTGATAACCCATCACTTCACTGCAACAAGACCAGTTGTCTAAGACTCTAACTCGGAGGTGGCACTAACAAACACCTCCCCCAAATTTTCCTTTCCTGTCTTCTCAAAATTTAATTGGCTCTAATTCTATTTAATTAAAATGTTTTAAGAATAAACATCCATGGCTGGAGAGATGGCTCAGTGGTTAAGAGCACTGGCTGCTCTTGCAGAGGACCTGGGTTTGGTTCCCAGCACCTGGGTTTGGTTCCCAGTACCCACACAACAGCTAACAACCTTCCATAGCTCCAGTTCCAGGGGATCCAATGCCCTCTTCTAGCATCCTAGACATAGGTGCACTTACATACATGCAGGCAAAACACTCATATGTATAAAATAAAAATAAATAAACCTTAAAAAAACTAAACATCTACCATTAGCAGGAGGAAAGTGCTGAGTCCAACAGAACAGTGACAAGATGTCATCACTGCAAACCAAAGTTGGGATAACCAATTCAAATGATGCATTTGTTTGCAAAAACATAAATACTGCTAGGCACGGTGGTGCATGCCTTCAATCCCAGGAGGCAGACGCAGGTGGATCATCTCTAGGAGATCCAGGTCAGCCTGGTCTACATAGCAAGTTCCAGGTCAGCAGGGGCTACAGGGAGACCTTATCTCAAAAAACAAATGAACAAACAAATAAATCTCAACTTCGTGAGGTTTTTTTCCTAAAATGAAAAGGATCTTAAACTTCTGTAACAGAAATTAAGCGAGAGAACTAAGTGATTATTTTTTAAATGTAAAGTTTATTTTGTTGAACTTGACTTTTCAAAGTTCAACAGGTGACTAGTTGAACTCCCTCGGTTTTATATAGTAAGCCAAAAATAATTTAGCTAAAGTAGGTAGAGAAAGCTGTCAGTAAGCTACAGAGTTCAGGACACAATGAGCAGGACAGACAGGTGGGGAGAAGCATTAAAATCGGGAACCTACCTTTACCTTCCCTTTGACAAAACTGGCAATGTCATCTTTATTGTCAAAGACAGACAAAGTGTGAAGAAGATTTTGTTCTAGCCAGTCCCAGTGCTGGTTGATTTCCTCTAATGTTGCACCTGGATTCAAATAGAAAGACAGAGATTACAAAACAAAAGAAATTTCTAGAACATGAACTTGTTTTCCCACTCTTGCCATATGCTAGGTCCTCATACTGTGGGCCAGCTGAAGAACAGGCTCCTCCACTGAAACAGTCTCCTCCTGCATCATGGACATCTGCAAACACCAATCCCACTACCACAAGGCAGGCCAGTTGACCAACAGGGCTCCCCTTGGGACTGCTCTGCGGCCATCTTGCCTGTTTCCATTATGCCCGGTAAACCTCTACCTCCAGTCAAGTGACAGAATGTTTATAATTACACCGCTATCTCAAGCACAGAACATGCCCTAAATAGCAGACTGACTGCAAACAGGTTCACATAGTGTACCCTGAGAACAAGAGTCCCATAAGAGGTCCTAAAGCCCAAGTCCACAGTAAGAGACCCTCTCGAGAAGCCCTGTTGACCACACAAGGATGCTGCCACTTATGATCGATCAGTGGAGCTTGATCCAGCCAGCAAGAGCCTAAGAAATTAATAGTCTATATATGGAGGTTTCATAACATAACAATACCCCTTAAATATCTATAGAAAGAGTTCTAGTAGTACGTATTATTATAAAACCCACATATAAGTATAAAATCATATGTAATAAGTTAATTTCTTTTACAGGTAATTTAAAGAATTTCACCAAACTTCCAAAGCATTAAGTAACCCCATTAACAAAAGCACAGTCATTTCAGCCATCTCCGTTTCTTCTCCAGGAGCCTTGCTCATTTGCAGTGAATGTGTGCACATGGCACAGGGACTGGGCCCAGCCTCTAGTGCATGACAGATGCTCAGTGAAGGGCACCAATGGCAATGTAAGCACAAAAAGGGGGGGGGGGGCATGTGTACTAAGGTTAGTCTATTTCAGTCACATTTCCAAAATGGGACATGAGATAGACTCTAACCCCAGAGAACTAAAGGTTACTCAGCAAACAACAGTGCAGTCACCCAGGAAAAGCAAAAGGACCAGAGTTAGATCACTTGCCCCAAAGCAAGCATGTTTTGTTAAAAACTAAATATCCTTCTCTCATGTTACCTGCAGCCTTCCTCTTCCCAGAGTATAAATTCATTCACGGATCTTATAAATACACATTAGTGTCCTTAATCTGAAACCTCAAATCTGAAAGGCCCCAAGTCTGACTTATTTTAATATTTTATTTGTTATTTTCATTTTGTGTATGTGTGAGTGTATTGCCTGCATGTATGTAAGTGCACTCGTGTTGTGTGATGGCTGTGGAAGTCAGAAGAGGGTGTTTGACTCCCCTGGAACTAAAGCTATGGACAGAGTTATGGTGTTACCCGCTGTGGGGTGCTGGGAATTGAACCCAAGTCCTCTGCAAGAGCAGTCAGTGCTCTTAACCACTGAGCCATCTCTCCAGCCCCAAGTCTGAATTTTGCATGACTTCTAATGAATCGGTATCTACAAACTGTTTCATGCACAAGACTTAAAACATGGTATAAAACTCAATCTATATGGACAAAGTAAATGAGCCTAGACATGGGTCCTACCCCCACAATATTATGTCTATACAAGTATTCCATACATCAAAAGAATCCAAAACACTTCTGGTCCCAAGTATCTTGGATAAGGGTTCAACCTATTCTGCAGGCAATAAAGTACTGGAGGACTCATTTGGACCTGTGATTTGGGCCCATGGAAATGAAGAACATGCACATTATGGCTGCTGTTCTGAGTGGGTAGTTTGGGAAGGAATAAAAAGTACCTAAGAGAATACTTCATAAGGAAAAATTAGTTTTTAAAAAAATACCTATTTCGCCGGGTGTGGTGGCGCACGCCTGTAGTCCCAGCACTTGGGAGGCAGAGGCAGGTGGATCCCTGTGAGTTCAAGGCCAGCCTGGTCTACATAGTGAGTTCCAGGACAGCTGGGGCTACAGGGAGACCCTGATTCAAAAAGACAAAAAAAAAAAAAAAACCAAAAAACCTATTTCCCTTGTAGTCTCCCAATTTTCAGGTATGATTATCCAATGACATCCTTGGGTCCTCACTAAAGCCAGACTTCTCCTCAGCACAGGGAGAAACAGCCCTGTGGCCTTGGCCCAGTGCCTCTATTCACAGGTTAGGACTTAATCCCTACACCTATAGCTCATAACTCATGACCTTCCTACCTCCCCAGGTGGCCCACTTGGAGCTAAGGATCCAGCCTTGGGGTGAAAGGCCATGAGCTTGCTTTCCGCTTCTCACCTATCTACCTAAAGGCTCCTGGGCTATCCAGAAACCCCAACCCTCTGACTCCCCACATCTCTTGGGACAGGGAACACTCATTTTAAAACAAAATCAAACCACGAAAGTCAGACTCCACATGACTCTCCTGAAGCCTCTGACCTTTCTCTACCTGAACTTGGGACCCTGAGCACCTATTTGGCTCCTCGGCTGGCTATGGCATGCCATGGGCTGACATGGCTTGCTCTGGTGGACATCTAGTTTGCCTGCCTCTGACGTGAGTCTCTCTGCCCCTTCAGTATCCCAGATGGCAGCTGTAGAGGTAACAGTAACAGGAGTGGCTACTTGGCATTGGGAGGACATGGGTCACTTTACAAAGCTGGCTCCTCCACAGCCCAAGTGCTAATGGAGTGAGAAAGGGCAGGTCTTTCCTCCCCAGCACTCCATGTCTCTATCCTTTATTATCATAATTAAACCATCCAGGACACTAAGCAAACAAGAGAAGAACAAACTTTAGAGGAACTACATTTATCAGCCTTCAGTCTTTTGCTATTTTCATGCACTTCCTCACTTATACAAACAAAACAATTAGCCAGGCACACCCCTTTAATCCCAGCACTCTGGGAGGCAGAGGCAGGCGGATCTCTGTGAGTTCAAGGCCAGCCTGGTCTACATAGTGAGTTTCAAGACAGCTGGGGCTACAGGGAGACCCTGTCTCAAAAAGACCAAAAAAAAAAAAAAAACCAACTAAAGGATCAGGAAATCAGGAACAGGTAGAGAGGAGAGAAGCCTAACCTTTGTGGTTCTAGGCTGTTCCAAGAACTAGCTTGCTGATCTGTAAAGAAGAGACAAAAAGGAAATGGAAGCTCAAATGAAGGGCAAGTCAGATATTTACCACCTTGCAGTGCCCTGGAGTCCTCCCACACACCATTTACACACGCCACGCCCGGGTCCAGGACTTGCTAAGCTGCACTGAAGAAGCTGCTCTGTGCCTGCACTACGCAGGAGCTCAGACCTTCTTCCTGAATGCATTTTCCTGGGCACTGGGATACAGATTTAAGATTTGTTTTATTTTAAGTTGTGTGTGCGTGTGCGTGTGCGTGTGCGTGTGCGTGTGTATACATGTATGCAGGTGCCCACGGAATCCAGAAGGGGTGCAAGATGCCCTAGAGCTGGAGTTACATGCAGCTGTGAGCTGTACAATGTGGGACCAGAACTTGGGTCCTCTACAGGCACAGTGTGTGCTCTTAACCACGAAGTAATTGCTCCAGCCCCTGGGACTCAGGTTTTCATTAGCCTGCCACCAAAGCTCCCAGAGGCTAACATTAATTACTTATAGCTAGCTGAAAGCAGCCTCAACTAACCATTTAAATATTTTACTTATTAGTTTTATGTGTATCACCTCTATGTATGTAAGTACACCCATGTCATGCAGTGCCCACAGAGGTCAGAAGAGATTGTCAAATCCTCTGGAACTGGAGTTACAGATGGTAGTTAGCTGCCAAATGGGTGCAAGGAACCGAACCCAGGTCCTCTGCAAGAGCAGCCAGTGCTCTTAACTGCTGAGCCATCTCTCCAGCCCCCTCAATTGAAAATTTAGATAACATGAATAAAACTATAATCAAGCCCCAACCCAACATACTCCTGTGGAATGAAGACTTAATAATAAGACATTGAAAAGCTAGACTTTTACTATTAAAAAAAAATGCTTCTATGTAATGTCATAATGCTTATGACAAGGATACATAATCCTAAATAAAACATACCCCACAATAAAAAAACAGAAAATTAACACATAAAACCTATCTATCTCTGAGCCACAGTGAGATTTTACTGCTGTTCTTCTGAATGGAAGACCTAGCTGTCTCCCAACAAAGACAATCAATATGATGATGAAACTTTTCCACCCCACTGTCCATTTCCTACAGAAGTTGCCAAATGGCAGGGAAATTTTCCAAACTAGAATTTCCTCTGCAGGGAAATCTTAGAATGGGCTTCATAAGGACCATAAATTAAGGCGAGCTGAATGCACATCCCTGACCCCGTATATCACATACGGTAGTTCTGAGCCTGCGCTGTGGCAATATTATCCCAATTCTATAAAGTAGCCCATCAGAAACTATCTTTAAAAAAAGAAATAGAACTGAAATAGAATGTGTACCACCTGGTAAGACTAGCCACTGAATTATGAATTCTCTGTGAATTACACACATTAAATACGTTTCTACCTGCAGGTCATGTCCAGTTTGAAAAGCATTGCATTGCACTGATACACAGCGTTGGGAAAGGTAAATTAGAGAACTAAGAAGGCACATGCCATCTATTGTACAGGCACAAAGGTAAGAGACCTTATAGGCATGTGCAGTCTTTTGACATTGTGACATGGGGTTATCATCTACAAAGTTTACACTCAAGAACTGCATACAAATGGGGCCAGGGAGTCGGCTCAGCAGGTGCAGGCACTCCCCATGAAGACTGATGGTGGAGATTGATCTCTGGAACTTAAATGGTAGAAGGAGAGAACTGACTCCTACAAGTTGTCCTCCTGCCTCCACATTCATGCCATAGCACAAATGTGCCCACACATGTACATACACACAAATATGTGGTTTTAAAATCAAAGAACCATGCAATTGAGTTGCAAAAAAGAAGTCTCAAAATACCTCATGTTTTAAGTTTATAATTTTGTGTGGGCCACATTCATAGATATGCTTAGACACATGCAGCCCACAGACCATGGGCTGAACACAGCTGGCATACTTATTGAATGCTACAGGAGTATATCCATTCT